TTTCCCCCCACCCCCCATCACCCATATTCCCCCTTCCCATTCTCTTCTTATTTCACAAATGCTCATTAATTACAATAACCTCTTTTCTCCCCGTTCCTCCCTCTCCTTATTCCCTTTTCCTTCTTATTCCATCAGTTCATCGAATCTCCGTGTAGTTCTAAATTCACACCACCTTTTCCACCTTTTCATAAACTTCTCCATTTTATCTTCTCCACGATGGTATAGCTCTTCTTTCGTATAAATACATTCTACCCTCTTTATCCACTCTTTGACTTTAGGTGATTCCTGAGCCTTCCAAAATGTAGGGATCAATCCTTTTGCCGCAATAAGTAAATGAAATACAATTCTGTTTTTATATTGTTTCACTGTGAGATTGGCGCTATAAAATAAACACACCCATGGTTCCATTATTATACTTTCTCCCACTGTTTCTGATATTTGTTGTACTATAATCTGCCAGAATATTTGTGTTTTGGGACATTCCCACCATATATGTATCAGTATACCTTCTCTCCCACAATCTTTCCAACAAAGTGAAGAGTTCTCTGGATGATACTTATGAACTTTACAGGGCATAACATACCATCTTATCAGGAGTTTATAATTCATCTCAACTGTGTACATATTCGTTGCTCCCTGTGCAATCCTAAATATTTTCTTTTTCTATTGCTCATTCAATTGTTCCCAATTCATTTTCCCATTTCTCCATATACCCTATTGAGTCGGTTCGGATATTATGGTAAGTGTCTAATACATAAGTGAAGTTCAATGTTTTTGTATCCCTTCTAAACTCATCAAGTGCTCTACTGGGTGCAAATTTTCCACCCTTCTTATAGGCTGTGGAAGTGTTGTAAAAAAAAAAAAATGTTTTAGTTGATAATACCGCCATTCATCCATCAAAGAAAACATATCCTTTTTATGTTTCAGCTCTTGTAAGGTGCATATTTTTCCCATTTTCATAATATCTTTTACACATACATTCTTATCTTTTATCCACATCCCTGAAATAATACTCTTCCCCAGTGTGAATTAATTTGTTCCTACTAATGGTATCAATGGTGAATTATAGATTTCTTTATAGATATACCCATATCCAAAAAACATTTTGTGTGAAAATGCTATAGCTTTCTGCAAACATACGGTATTGTTGTGGAATCCAAATAATTTTATTGAATTGTACTTCACTTAGTTTTTTTCAATCTTTACCCAACTTTTCCGAACATGTTCATTATATGCCCAATCCATTATTCGTGACAAAGCTACTGCAAAATATCTTTGAAAATCCGGCATATCATAAACCCTTTTTTTTTATCTTTACTCAGGATCTCCTGTTATACCGTTTTTTTTTTATTTGCCCATTTATATCTCATTTGTTTTTTTTTTTTCAATGCCCCCACATACCCCCGAAATGCAAATATATCACCACCTTTGGAATTTATATATAAAAATTTTAGGTGATATGACCATTTTCACCAATTCTGCAAACCTTAACATGTTTATTCTAAAACCCTATCCAAGAAAGTGATCCTCTTGAAATTTTCATCAGTTCCTTTTATCTAATTTATTAATGGGATTAAATTTGCATGGTACATACCCTTCAATGACGGTGTTACCTTAACTCCTACATAGTTTAATTATGTATCCTGCCAGAAAAAGGGAAAATCGCCTGTCTCTCTCTGCGGTAGATTAATATTCAGTACATGACTTCAAAAGATTAATCTTAAAATTTGACAGCTCTCTATAGTGTTTTAATACGCTCATTACATTTGATAGTGTTGAAATTTTTAGTTGGTAAATCCTATATTATCTGCAGAATCTGCTACCCTTATGCGTGCACATCTCCAATTTGAATTCCTTTTATATCTATACTATCTTTAGAGCCCGTTAGCTACTGTACAAAATAGTGTAAACAGGAGGGGTGACAATGGGCCACCCCTGCCTTGTTCCATTATAAAATGTTGCGAACTACACTCGGGAAACAATTTACTATTAATCTTCACTGCTGCGGAAAAGATGGATAGTTTATTTTATACCGTATTTTTCGCTCCATAAGACGCACCTGACCATAAGGCGCACCTAGGTTTTAGAGGCAGAAAAACAGGAAAAAAAAAATTCTGAACTAATGGACTGCAGACACAGTACAGGAGATGACCAGAGACTGCGGACACGGTGCAGGGGGGATGACCAGAGACTGCGGACACGGTTTTAAAAACCAGAGACTGCGGATAGTTAAATGACTGCTGACTTTTTGGGGAGGGGGGGGGGAGCGGGTACCTGAATTTGACAGGTTATTTGCCCACTTCCGCGGATTTTGTTCTTTCATCTTACCTGTTCCTCGTGCAAATCCAGCCCCGCGCTGTCTTCCCGGCTTCTGTAATTTCGGCATGACAGCCGGGTGCCCAGTGCGCATGAGCGAGAAGAAAAACTTGCGCTTTGTGATTGGTCCGGCGGCTTCTGGGATCTGTCATGTGTCCCAGGTGCCGCCTTACCATTCACAAAAAGCACTCCCGCTTCCTGCGCATAAAAAGGGAATTTGGCACCCGGCTGTCATGCCCACACTACAGAAGCCGGAAGACTCGCGCCGCTGGATAGAGGAACAGGTAAGATGAAAAGAACAACTCCACGGAAGTGGGAGCGGGTACCTGTCAAATTCAGGTACCCTCTACCCCCCCCCCTCCCCCCAAAGGTCAGCAGTCATCTCTAAGGTACTATCTGTAGAGCTGAGCGGCCGGCCTGGTATTCTGTAAACAGGTGGCAGTGGAAATGGGACCCCTGCCGCTCCATAATAAACGCACTGCAACATTTACCCCCCTTTTTTGGGGGGAAAAAAAGTGCTTCTTATGTGCGGCGAAAAATTATACAAATATTTTATCCATCACATCAATTTAGGTCCTGATCCTAATGCTTCTAGAGTATTTATCATAAATCCCCAGTCTACCCTGTCAAACGCTTTTTCAGCATCTATCAACAGAAATAGCACTGGGGGCCTCTCTTTCCTACTCTTTTGCAGGAAGAGTAATGATCTCAGACCATTATCCCTTCATTCTCTTCCCGGTAAAAACCCCACCTGATCAAGATGTACCCATTCTGGCACTACATCTTTCATCCTACTAGCGATGACCTTCGCATCTAAATTTCTTATCAAGATTTAGTAATGATATTGGCCTGTAGCTGGTACATTGGGATAGATCTTTTTCCTTCTTTAGGTATTATCAAAATATGTGCAAACAATAACTCCTTCCTCATTTCCGTAACTGCTCCTAATACATTCCTATACAAAAAATAATATATATATACATACACAAACCAACACACATACACATACACACACACACACACACACACACTACTAGCTGTTCAAAAAAAAAAAAAAAACCACTTGTCTATCGGGCAATTTCACCCCCTTCCTGCCCAGGTCAATTTTCAGCACTGTTACACTTTGAATGACAATTGTGCAGTCACACAAACACTGTACCCATATGACATTTTTAGCATTTTTTCAGACAGCTAGAGATTTTTTTTTTTTTGGTGGTATTTAATCATGACTTGTTTTTTTTTGCTTAACAAACCAAAAAACAGGTAAAAAAAAAAATTTTTAGTTTCTGTTATTTTGTAAAAGAAGTGATTAATGCAAAAGGATGTTCGATAAGAATGTAACTAATTTAATGGCCTATAATGTAATGGGACTCAATACTCAAGTAAAAAGATAAGATTACTAGAGAAATATGGCAGCACTCTACTGCTGTGGTATTCCTACAAGAGACATATCTCACGATACAAGAATTAAGTTACAAATAAAGATATTATCTGACTTGTCAGCTTGCAGTGGGGCAGCTGCTTGGTACAACAGGAAGTCACACAGTTAGCTCTGCTGCCGTTCACAGGACGTCTTGTATTCTTTCAATGGATACTTTGCATTCCCTGATTGCAAGAGATGGAGAGGTAGGGACACCATCTTCATCTTGTTCAAAAAGAGAATGCACAGGACCTGGAAGATGACTGCTATCACTGTAGTAATGCCAACTACCACAGTGATTGGTAGCTTCCACACTGGTCCATCAGGTATGAAATATGCATAATTGCATTGGTCCAAGCTGTATGTAAACTTAAAACTAGTGGAAAAAAAAAAAAAAAAAGAAGATAAAAAGTGATAAAAAAAAATAGAAAGTGTGTGTTTGCCGCTATTGTCACTTCCCAGTGACATGCTGTTAAAGATGGCGGTGACTGCATTAGACAGTGTTGCCCCTATTGAAGGCCACGGGTCAGCTGGTTAACTGCGTAGATAACTTGCAGTGCTTCTTTGTGTCTCTCTAAACTGAGAATGAAGCCAGGACAATTCATATAAAATTGTGGAAAATAATGACAGACTTTGTACATGCAGTAGTGCAGTAAGGGGAAAAAAAAAAACCAAAACAAACAAAACAACACACACTACAGTGGAAAGTTTTTTTTATTTTTTTTTGTACATGTTTATTGCTCTCAAAAAACTAGAATTTTTTTGTACATTTACAATTTTACAGTTACAGTATTTAAGATGCAATGCACTAGAAATATGCACAGGTAAGAGTAGCTCTTGTTGGCGATTGATTCAGTGGACAATATTGGAATTTAGGGGGGGGGGGTGTCACTAGATATGGACAGGTCAGATGCACATTTTCCCTTTATTACAATGTAAAGCGCAATCATGATGTGCAGAGTTTAGAACTTCACAGCAGCCAGACATATTCACAGTACAGTATTTGCTTTGCACTCTGTTTTCTGCCTTACTATATAGGCCTGATGGGCAAGAACAGTGTGAATAGCCAAAGTACGTGAATCAACAGAGGAACCTATGCCAGATCTTCTTAGTGGAGAATCGGGTGCCTTAAATCATTATCCACTGAAAACAATCGGTGATCATCATAGAAATAGGAGACACCTTGGGCCAATTCACAATCGCTTCAGATCTAAGTACAGTATTAGCAGGTACCATCCTCTCAGAGAAAAAAAAAAAAAAAAAGCTATTTCTGCAGCACTAGGAGCACAGACAGCACTTTAAATGGCGTAAAGGAAAGCTTCACACATCGATCCTCAGACAGAACATTTGCCAAGTCATATGGCCGTTCAAGGAGATCACACCTGAAAGGAACAACATTAATATTGTTATACAGATCTGGCATCCATGTGCTATGCTCATTGAGTTAGGGATCACGGACAAAGGATAGGAAAAACATTGATCATCATTCCTCCTGGTCTCAGGAATACACCAAGTAAACTCAACCAGACATAAATCTCCTACACTAGGTCAGGTTTGAATGGCAGCTATCCAGTATGCATTTCCACATAATTAAGTTAGATGCTTGTGATAATTGGGTATTGTACTTTCACTGGAATGTGACACACACAATATGTAATTTTAGAAAGAAATGAAATCTTGGCAGGAAGGCATTCAGAAAACCAATGTACAGGAAAGAAAGGCCTCATTCACCCTAGCACTGTCAAAAGTGCATTTATATACATGTAGGAGGACACTTCTAAACACATATAAATGCAGGTAATGATTTTTCAATAGTACCTTCAACACCACACATTTACCTACATTTAGGTGCAATCATTTTAGCAGCATTTAGAGAAAATAGAATTGTGTGTGTTCAGTTAGCACTCTAAGGTGTCCTTTTATGAAACCGAGATCAGCGGCGATGCTGAGGATCATTGCTGATCTCCGATCATTAGTGGTTTAAGAAACAGATGATCAGTGGAGAACAGGTTCATCGCTGATCATCTCAGCACACAGACTGCCAGTGTATGAAGGAGCGACGTCAGCCCTTCACTGGTGATCTGTGTTCTCCCTCCAGATTCTCCAGCCCCGAGGTGGAAAAATCGGAGGAACCGCAAATGAAGCAGTGGTAAATTTACCGCTGCTTAGTAAACAGTGTTTGACTGATCTCTTACTGTAATCTCGCGAGATTATAGGAACAGCAGCCATTTTCCAGCGTTCAAAGTGTTTGTAGATTGCTTCTCCCTTCATTCGGAGAAGAAATCTACACGGCTTCATAAAAAGACAATTCAGAGGAAAACTCTCTCCTCTGAGAATGCCGGAGAAATGAGCAGCGGTCATTTACCGCTGCATGATAAAAGGACACCTAAATGTATGTAGATGTATGTGAATGTATTTAAAATGACACTAAACCTGCTTTAAAGTACAAACATCCAAGTGCTGAATTTAGCAATCTGGGAAGCATAAAAGTTGCTTAAACTCCTCAGATAACTTCTATGTTTAGTAAAGCAAAACACAGGAGTTTCAGTGTGAATGAGACCTAATTTTTTGAGTCAGGAGCAGATTTCAAAGGACCTTTATGGGTCCGGATTCTGATTAGTGAAGGGAGACAAGCAGGTATTTCCATCCACAGCAGTCTTTGGCAAATGTGCAGCACTTATTAAGTTCCAGCTTTTGAAGGATATCAGTGCTGCCAATCATTGTGCAAGCTGAGACATGGAGAAGCCGAAAAAAGTCTGCTCTAAGAAAAAGGTTACAAATATGACTTTAATAAGCAGAGTTAGGGGCACGCGCAGCTCTTTTAGAAATCAGCACTGTCCCTTAAATCTAGCACTATGAGCATTATAAATGATGTCTATACTCACAGGAAAGCTTCTTTTACAGCGAGTGACGTCTGGAGCTGGGTGTCAACAGTGCTGCCATAGGCCTCATACAACCTTACTACTAGAGTATCTGGGCGCTTTTCAGCCTAGGAGAAACAATGGATATAGCACATAAGACATTTCCTAAGAATTCCATAGATTTATATATTTTTTGCAATCCATGACTAACTTTCAGCATTAAAGTGAGTGACTATGCAAAAGTAGAAAGAAAAAAAACATTTGTCAGGTTAAGATTTCTTTATTTGTCAAGAAAAAGGGAAATTCTCGTCCCAGTGACCAATCAACAGCTCTTCGCATCACCGATTATATTTAAAATATTGTAATGACACCAAAGTATCTAAGCTTTACGTCCAGTATATGGCACTGAAAAGCATTGAAGTAGATGTGAACCCAGTGAAGTGACTGGCCTCGGGTGGTAAACAATTCCTCCTACATAACTTGTACCTGTTTATCTGAAGCCACCTGTTCTCAGAGAAGCAAAGTGCAGAATTTATTGAGATTGTCTGAGCTTAAAGAAAGCAGGTGGGTAGGGGGCTGAACTCTTCAGAGCTCTGTGAGAGCTGACTAGAGGGAGAGGAAACACCCAACCCACTTCACACAGCACACAGGAATAGAGCTGAGGCTGTAAATCACATGCTGTGTGCTGGAGTCCCCTCCCCTGTCACCTTTTTATCTTGTGGTGTCAGGAAAGCTTGAAAGAGGGGACTCGTACAGATAGCAAAAAAATTACAGCAGAAATGACACTTACTGCTCTGGATTGAGAAAAGCACATACTATAGAGGTATATGCTTTGTTCATATTTCATGTCTAGGTTTACAATCACTTTAAATCTCTTCCACAACCTATATATGAATCTAGATATAATAAAATCACTTATAAATGCCTTGTGTACTAAAATAATACTCACTCAACAGGCGGTCTGTGTTAAAGGCACTTACATGTCTGTACAGTTTAGAACAGGTCTTCAGCCAGCAAGTCCATTTACTAACAGTTTGGGAAGTGTTGTGGCACATAGAGGGAAGCAATTCTTGCGCGTCCTTTCAAAGTATTGCAGTAACACATGTTGCATGCTTTGGTGTGCTGCATTGTCATTTATTTTGGATAGCACCAAAAACACACCTGCTTTGCGTCGCACTGAAATGCAGTACTGTGAACTGTGTTGGAAAACATTGTAAAGGCTGCCAAAGCAGCACGCGCACAAAATGCACATTAACCACTTGCCGTCCGGCCGCTGCTGTTTATGAATGGCAACACACCCCTGAACTGCCATCGTCCTGCCGTTTATAAATGGCACCCGCATTTTCCGGTGCCCGCTGTGTCCTCCAGACACAGTGGAACACAGATTGTCGTAGGGGACCCTCTGTGCGAGGTCCCGATTATGTGATCACTGATTGGCCAATCAGTGATCACATGCAGAGTAGTAAGCAAGATGTCACTTCTGACATTGCTTACTGTGTGAAATCTGTGAATGATCACAGAGGTCACATGGTACAAGGCTGGTGAATAGCCTTGTACCATGTGACAAGCTGTGACCAATGACAGATTACATAGCATTTCTCAATGACTGCAAGAATGCAGCCAGAGAGAAGGAGAAATGATTGCTTTTACACCCATAAAGGATGTAAAAGCAATCAGTGTAAAAAAAAAAACAAACAAAAAAAAAATCTTCATCACCCCCCACAAGTAGTACAGTGTCACCATGGTGACACTGTACTGCTAGGGTGACAGTATGTAAAAAAAACAAAAAAACAAAATTTAAAAAAAAAAAATACATTTATTTGAATTATTTTTGGTTAAACTAATTTGGGTTTTTTTTTACTAAAAAGATATCTGAATACATTTTGGCCAAGATTTATGATAAAATATATTTGCAAAATTTTATAGGAAACTTTTTTTTCAAAATTTTTGGACTTTTTTCATTTATATAGCAAGAAAAAAAAAAAATCTCAGTGGTGAAAAACCACCACCAAAATAAAGTTTTATCTTTCTCAAAAAAAATGCTAAAAAATTAATATGGGTACAGTGTTGCATGACCGCGCAATTGTCATTCAAAGTATGATAGCGCTGAAAGCTGAAAATTGGCCTGGACAGGAAGGGGGTGAAAGTGTCCGGACTTGAAGTGGTTAATACAACACATCACAACTTACAGATGTGAATGGGCCCTTTAGCCTTGTCTGAGGAGATCTTACAAGCCCTTTATGCTGGTTGCTGGTGTTCTGGAAAGAAGTAGCATGGCATGCCATCGTGTAAGCAATATAACAAACCATCTAATCTTTATTACAGGACTGTACAGCATGTAAAGCACAGCAGACAAATTCACTGCCAGTAAATTAATTAATGATGTGAAAAAAAATTCCAAATGGGGGAAAAAGAATCTTGTTGACATGTAAAATGTCACATAAAAAATGTAAAAAAAATCATTATCAAAACAGGAGGGGCGAGTATAAACTAAAGGTTATGTATGAGGTGGGTGATGTGTAATTAACCAGACAGTTAGTAGGATGGCAATGTTGACATCATGCAGCTTAGATGTTGGCATAAAGCTGAATTCATGCCTGTTCATTTTAAAGCGTATCTAAAACAAAAATATAATATGTTGCAGCTTACAGTCCTTAGATGTGATTACTGCATTAGTTTTTTTTCAGGCTTTTATTTTATTTCATATTTTTATCTGGTAATCCTGTGAATGATACAATTTCTCCAATGTATACAAGGAGCCAGCCAAGGTTGTTGCACAGGCTGGACTTCAAACATGTCTGGCTTTGTTCATCTATACTACATTGTAGTTGATGGCACTATTCGTATACATTAATTGTACTGTCCTTTTCGCTCACAGGAAAAGACAAGGGCACTTGAATGTGATGGTTGTATTAGTTTTGTTTTTTTTTCAAGGACTGGTAAACTGCAATATATACCATTATTGCTTTGGGTTTGGTTTTAAAAAGTCCCTCTTTCAAAAACTGAGCATGAAGGCTCTTTATTGAAAGAACATTCAATGTCTCTTTGGCAATAAAAAAACCATACCTGCCCACTCACAATCGTCTTCATAAGTTCACAAGCAAAGTTCAGTTTACATTACAACACAGCACCTGCATGTAGGGATGAATGCGCTCTGCACACATGCGAGAGTGACGTCATCCTATGTTGGCCATTGAGGATATTCAGTCTGGCCCTGAATATACAGGAGAAGATGCCAGCGACCATTGAAGTAGTAAGTTTAGCTCCACTTTAAGGCTCGTGCAATTTTAATTAAAACCAATGGAAGCACATGAAAAATACATTTTAAACACATGTTGCAATGAACATCGGAGGTTAGCATGTGTCTTCATGCTCCACAATATGTACCAATGCATTTTCATTGATTTCAAGGACACCACATGTGCTCTAAAACAGACAAGCATACAGTAAATGCAGCCTACAGAGCCTAATAAGAAAGGAGAATATTGTTCATCAGTTTAATCTGAATCAGCTACAGTCTACATGGAAGGGCAGTCCTCTTCACACCAGGGAAGGGCAGTCCTCTTCACACCAGCTACTCTGCAGTCATGGTTTTACAACAGCTTGGTTTACAAAATGTTGAAGACTTACCATTTTTACAGTTTCTAGCACCACGGCTGGAGAGGAGACAGTGAAAAAACTCCTGGAGGTGGTCTGTTCAACTAGTGATGTTGTTGTCAGAAGAGGAATACAAAAGTTATATGCACTTTGGATAACTCCTGCTTCCTGAAATGATCCTAGTGGGTACAGAGTCATTAAATGACAATCAGTTCCCCGGTTAAGCCAAGGTGGAATTAAACAAAAATGTAAATTCAGTCCTACAAAACCCCCAAAAAGAAAACAAAAATTACCCTTACTTTAATTAAAATGTACAACTAAAACAAGGCTTTTTTTTTTTTTTTTTTAAGTTCTAGTGACCACTGTATACTTTTTTTTGGGTGGGTGGTGAAGCAGAGGGTCCTGTGCATGGCAATTTCTCCTACTTGGCATGTCACAGGTGGGGATACATACAAAACACTATATATTTCCTGCTGCCTATTTTAACTGGAAAGTATTCTAGCTTTATTCATATATTTTGCTGCTTAGTTAAATGCAACATTTTGCCTAATAAAATGAAGCAGTCTTCCATGCAGCCAGCAGGTGGAGCTCTAGTTTCCTTTACCATGTTAACCTATACTGAAATAAGCCAATTGTTGAGCGGGTGATCACAGTGATGACGTCTCTTTTTAGACAACTCAGTAGGAGGATCTGAGACAACCAAATTAGACATCAAGGCAAGTTTCATTTGTTATGTGGCCTCTTTAACTAACCCATAGTTAAAGTTTCAGAAAATGAGACAATGTAATTAATATGTAATATATGGAGATCTAAGGGCCCTTTCGCATTGGTGGTCTCCGCCAAGCGGATCCCTCCTCTGAGGTTACCCAACTGAGCAGGCGTATGACATGTCTGTGTCTGCTCCACTTGTGCAGAGCGGCCACGGATACAGCCCGCTGTTCTCTATGGGGTGACCGGATGTATAGGATTTATATAGTGCCAACAGTTTACGCAGAGCTTTGTCATCCAATCCACTAGACCAGGGGTAGGCAACCTGCGGCTCTCTAGCTCTTGTGGAACTACTCCCATGAGGCATTGCAAAGATTACAAAACTGACAGTTACAGCTATGACTTGCAGAGGCATGATGGAACTTGTAGTCCTGCAGCTCTCAGGTTGCGTACCACTGCACTAGACAGATGGGGAACAGATGGATCCCCATCCACCTGTTTTAGCAGATTGGATCGGATGCAGGCATGTGCAAACAGACACAAAAAAGGAGCCTTAAAAGCTCTGTTGGCTAAAATTAGCTTTTGCCTAGATGGCGTTTTTTTTCTAATCAATGAAGTGCAGCTTAAAAAAAAAAAAAAATATATATAGGATACCTACCCTGATGAGGCATTATTGCATAGGAAAACTCATGAAGTCCAACATCAGCAGTAGCATCTGGGGATTTTGGGGCTCTCAGTCTAGTTACAAAAACGAAAATGGGCATTTTACATATAGAAATATATTAAACATGTTAACTGCTTGCCTGTTGCCCTATAGTAGAAGTACTGCTACAGGGCGGCAGGGCAGCGCAAAAATCATGTATCTAAACATGGCTTGCATTTCCAGGTAGGGGCTGCCTGCGCTCCGCCCGCCCGTGCCTCTATTGGCGGCTAGGGATGTCAATCGCTGAGTCCTGACCGGCACTCGGCGATTGTCAGGTAAACACAGGTCTCTCTCCTGTCAGCAAAGACATGCTGCTTTGTATTTCTCTGCACAGCAGAGAAATGCAAAGCAGCATGTCTCCCTAGTAAAACACACATACAGCACATAATGTAAAACACACACAGCACACAGTTAACCCTTTGATTGCCCCTGTTAACCTCTTCCTGCCCAGTGTCAGTGCTTTGTATTAGCACTGATCATTGTAATAGTGTCACTGGGGATGTCAATGGCAGTTAGTCAGTTCCCTCCCAGTGTCAGAATGCCCACTGCAGTCCCGCTATAAGTTGCTGATTGCCACCATTACTAGTATATAAAAAAAAATAAAAATTCCAGTATATACTGTATACACCATTTGCGGACGCTATAACTTTCACGTAAACCAATTCATTTACACGTATTGGGATTTTTTTTTTTTTTTTCAGCAAAGACATAGCAGAATACATTTTGGAATGAAGTTATGCAGAAATTAGATTTAAAATTTGATTGGATATGTTTTATAGGAAAAAGTCAAAAATATTGTTTTGTTTTCAAAATTGGTCTTTTTTTGTTTATAGAGCAAAAAATAAAAAAAAAGCAGAGGTGATCAAATACCACCGAAAGAAAGCTCTATTTGTGTGCAGTGTTGCATGACCACGCAATTGTTAAAGTAACGCAAAGCAGCGCCGTATCACACAAAATGACCTGGTCAGGAAGGGGGATCAATCCTCTGGAGAGCTAGTGGTTAAATCAGAACATTTAAGTCAACTAATGTCAGCAAAGGTGCACACTGGGAGGCCGTCTGGTTCCATGTGTATCAAGTAGGCCCAGGACCCAAATGGTTAAACAGGTTACTATTACCTCGATTTGTGATTCTTGATAATAAAGTGAGTTAAGAAATTTTATAGAACATTTAAACTTACAAAGAGAGACTGAGGACATTTCCACATACAGAGCAACCGTATTTGCAGTCATTTAGCACAGCAACTCCAAACCCGTACTCGGACAGGTCCATCCAGCGGTGAGCCCAAACCTGCAGGAGAAAGCATGGCTGAGTTGTAACAGTAAGTTTACAAATGGTATAGGAGGGTTACTAGAAATGCGTCTTGAAGTTTATTTCCACATTTGCAGCCAAAATGATATGACACCCAATTTATATTTGTTACATGTTCCCATTCACGTAGCAGAATATAAAAAAATAAATACAAAAAATTGTCTGCTTACCTTTCTAACATGCTTTAAAACCCTAGCTGGTTTTCTCCTTAATGTTAAGGAGGGAGCTGGAAAGTAATGTTTAACATAAGGAACCTTATCTGTACTGAGCTAGCAGATCTTCATTATCAGTTGTAAACTAGATTTGTACTAACAAAAGGTTAAAGGACACGTTCACCTTTGCAACATGTTACACCCATATTCAGGGTGTAACGTAAAATGTTATAATACCGCACCCCCCCGATCCACCCTGTGACAGTGGGTGGGAAATCCTCTCTCCGGACCTAATGTTGCTATTTAAGAACAGTGTGGCTGTGCGAGGCTATGGCCACATCATTCATTCATCAGAGTTCTGTGAATGAATGAGCCACAAGTATCGTCAGCCACTGAGGCAGACAGCTTGTAGTTCTAAATGAATTACGAGGGAGCTAGTGAGCACTCTGTACAGGCAGGCAGTTACTGATCTGTTAATGAACTACCAAAGATATGGGCAGTCTGCAGGATCATGGCTTTGCACTCGCAATCTGCTGATCGTGGGTGCAATACCTTACAGACAGCAGTGTAAAAAAAATAATATGCCGACGACTCACAAATCTATCTCTCAACCCCCCACCTCACCACCTCAGTCTCCGCCCGAATCACACACCTACTGAGTGACATATCAGACTGGATGTCGCTCCACTTCCTTAAACTGAACCTCTCCAAAACCGAGTTGGTCTTCCCCCCCAGCCCCCCCCCCCCCCCCCCCCCCCCATTGACTTCTCCATCATGTCCAGCAATGCCACCATCAAACCCACCCCGCAGGCCAGAGTACTTGGTGTCATTCTGGACTCTATCCTATCCTTCCAGCCCCAAGTCCAATCTTTAACAAACTTGTGCAGACTCCACCTCCGCAACATCGCCAAAATCCGCACGTTCCTAACCCCAGAAACCACTAAACAGCTCATCCACTCCCTCATCATATCACGACTCGATTACTGCAACTCCCTCCTCACTGGCCTGCCTCGCCGCTGGCTATCCCCGGTTCAGTCGATCCTGAATACGGCTGCCAGACTCATTCACCTTTCCAACCGCTCCATTTCCGCCACCCCCCTCTGCCAATCCCTCCACTGGCTTCCGATTGCGCAACGGATCAAATTCAAAATCCTAATGCTGACGTACAAAGCTGTCCACCATACTGCCCCGAACTACATCACTGATCTAATATCCAAGTACCGCCCAGCACGCACACTCCGCTCCTCACAAGACCTCCTTCTCTCTAGTTCCCTGGTCTCCTCCTCCCATGCCCGCCTCCAGGACTTCTCCAGGGTGTCACCCATCCTCTGGAACTCCCTGCCCCAACCCATCAGATTATCACCTACTCTCCTCTCCTTTAGGCGCACCCTGAAAACCCACCTCTTCAGGAAAGCCTACCCCACCCCACCCCACCCCCTGCTAACTTGCCAACCTCCACTCTTCCTACCACCCCATCCTCCACAGTTATCTCCTCCTGTGCCACCATCCCCTCCCTCCTAGATTGTAAGCTTGAAAGAGCAGGGCCCTCGATCCGCTCAAGTTTTGCATTGTATTGTTATGTCACATGTTCTGTCCCCCTTTGTAATGTACAGCGCTGAGCGAACTATTGGTGCTTTATAAATACTGTATAATAATATAATAAAAGCACATTGATTCACCTGCAAAAAAGATGTGCGATTATTTTTTTTTTTTTTTTCTAAAAAGGTTAGCTTTGGAGTTTAAAAGATCTCAAACCTTGGGCACTACATTGTATGCAAATGCACTTTATCTTAGTCTGCCCACACTTTGGTACTGTTCAGAATAGCTTGCACTCCTTTATAAACCCATGTCAAAGAAACAACTAGAAAAAGAAAGAATCTTTTTTTTTTTTACTTTAGGTATGCTGTGTGAATGGGAACATGTAACAAACATATGGTGAGGGTTTCCTAAATGTTATAGCAAAGGCAGAAATGCAGGGACATCTTAAGAGTCACGTCTCTGAAAAGAACATCAGCATATATATCTGACATCAATAAGTTACCATTAATAGCAAATCGTTAATGTATGATGGTCTGTGAATGCCAGAATAGTCAAATATAAGATCATTATGTATGCTTCCTTTATTCATATAGGAAAGATCAGTATATGTATGCTTACTTTATTTATATATTACTAGGATATGTTATCTACTGCAACTAAAAATGACCTAATACAGGCATTTTAAACTCAAGTCCAAGAACACGCCACAAAAGCCACACCTTGGTCCACAGGTCAGACATTGACAGATCTTCCTTTATTACAGCTTTGGTATTGCATATTAAACAATGGATTTTGTCAGATACTAGTTAGCAAAACTCCTGCATTTATCATGGAAGACTTTGTTCCTCTTTAACATATCATATCAACAGAATCTATGAATAAAAACTATCAATGTTGAGCCAAGAGATAGGTTTAGGGAGCTCGAAGACCGTGTAATCTGCTGAGGCTACCCACTACCTTGTTGAATCTGATCCCAATTCACTGACGTTTGTGTCCTCCATATTGCCCATCACCTTGAGAAAGCCTTGTAGCCTCTCCATAGACATTCAACACCTTCAAACAAGTTCTCTTTATCTTTGAATATAGGAAGAAACTAGAGTGGCTAACACAAAGTTTCACACATCCTCTTTGCTTTGCAGTGCTAAGGTCTGCTGTAGCACTCTCTAGAGCTGCGGCCACACTGCCGACTTTTCCCACCTACCAACTGAGATAGCGTTTTACCAGTCAGTTCATTGCTTGAATTCAAGGCCAATCTGTATCTCCTGACTGCTCACCACCACTTTTAGTGTAACCTCCCTGCCGGCCCACCTAAAGCAGGCCACAGAGAAGGTGCTCACAGACCACATGCAGTCTGAGGGCTAAATGTTCTACATAACTGGTCTACAACAAGGTTGAAGACAATTGTTCCCTAACCTTAGATTTTGGCAAGGAAATACAGATAATTTTATTATACTAGTTAAGAGAGAGGGGGCATACCTCATATCGTGCCCAGTCCCAAGAAGTATTGCGATGAGTGGGTCTCTGCAAGTGTCCAAACTGAATCTCGTAAGTAGCATTTGTATTATGAACGGTTGTTGGGAATTCAACTTTTAAGAACTTATGAGCCTCGTTCCATGACACCTATTGTACAACATGAAGCAAAAATGTCCTAATAAGCAGAAGAACCAAATCACACACTTATACTATAGAAAAATATAAATTTCAAACATTTCATATGACATAGAACAATGCTTTTCTTAAAGTTAAGAACCTCTTTGTAACAGCAAATTCATTCCACGTAACCCCTGAGGAAAACCCCCTAAATTGTTCACAGCAATTATCCATACATCAAATCTGTATATACAGGTTTTCCAAACAATTATTATTATTATTATTAATGCCTACAGTAAGTATACTATAGGATCCAATATTTGCTTAAAGTGGTTATCCAAAAAAAAAAAAAAATGTATGCCTTCCTAATCACATATATTATCCATCTGTGCACTTGGTATAAGATTACCTGCTGACCCTACAGTTCTTTATGCATTCCTTCTTATTGGGGGCAACCATCTACAGGCTTATAGAGCCTCGGCAAAGTTGCCACGTGACCTACTTCCTAGGTAATGTGAGCATTGTTCTTATTGTCACCACAGCATGGCCCAGGTCAGAGCTAAGCCACAATGTGTCATGTCCTGCGATGCTGCTTTAGCCATTATACACCCTCCTTTCCAGGCCATTTAGAGCACAGTGTGCTGTCAGTGAAGCATGTGGTTCACCCGAGGTACAAACAATACTATTTTGAAATATTTTTGTATATAAATCTGTGGCTGGTGTGGTGGGGTGCCCTATCCATACAAGTAGGGAGCGGATATCTTGGTTTAAAACTACTTTAAGGCCTTATTCTCAGTTATTCTTAACTGATGTCTCTGCAAGTGAAAGGTGCGCATCAGTTTTCATCAGTTTTAATGCACGCTTGAATGAGTTTTATACATGTTGCAGATTCCTGCAAAGAAAAAAAATGTGCATGATACTAGTGTTGTGGTGTGATGAGGGCACAGAGAACAATTGTTTTTTTAGGCCCTTGCAGAACATGTGCAGAAAAACTCACATCTCCGCACATGGTGTGAATAAGACTTACATATTAAAACCATTTAATTTATCTGAAGAAGCAATGACCTGCTTGAGGTACACATTTTACTGTTTGAGATTCACTAACACAGAACATAAAATAGGACTTCACTTAAGACGCAAGGGAGAACAAATCAAAAAGGCACTGAGCTCACTGAATCATAAAAACTATTTAAATGAAAAAGCCTTTAAAATGTGGTCTACAGTCATAGACAAAAACATCTATCAATCTGGTAAAGAGCTGTAAAAGGTTTTTAAACAAATTTTAAAGACATCTGTAAATTCCTACACCTATCCCTGGCTGGATCACAACTCTGCAGTTATAATTTCATATGGCAATCTGTCCATGCAGCTGAATTGGAACTCCTGTAACAATTATATTCAAACCAATGAGTTTACTTCTTGCAAATACATAGAGATCCATTAAACTGCATGAGTGCAGATAACCCCTATATATTACTATATGCATGTTCTTCTATGCTCTCTTTTAATTAGGACTTACGAAACACATTGAAAATGCCACATTCTAATTGGATAAAATATCCTACAAAATGAAATATGTTCAGAATTATCAGTTTATTCTGATTTAGAACATATTGAAAATTTCAGAATGTTAGCCCAATTCTTTGACCAGCTATTTTTTCTTAACACTGTGATCAAAGCTATAAAAGTACAAAGTGTAATGATAAAATGTTAATCTGTGATAGCTTGATCCCATTGCTTCAATGTAGGATGTATTATTTGTATTGTATGTGTTATTTGCGTCGTGTTACCAATGACAACACTTTGAGCACTACTTGCATCATGAAGGTGAAGGCCCGGTTCACACAAGAATGCGGTGTGGGAAACTGACATTCCATCTCGGTTTACCGCACCACTTTCAAATTGGACTGCCCTTGCAATCGGCAGTGGGTGTCATTTCAAAGTTAATGACACCCCAAACTCATTGAGTTCGCCCACACCGGATCGCATGGTACTTGCGGTTGCAGTATGTTTCCAAAAATAGTGCATGCACTACTTTTAGTGCGGTGCGATAATCAGCCCATTCAAAATGAAAGGCCTAAAAATCACACTGCCGAGGACTGCATGTGAATGGCACAGGAACAAGCAACATGGTCTTGTGCAATTCACAATCAGTTCCTAGTGTGAATGGGCCCTAAAAGTTAACTTTGTGAAGGCTAAAAAAATACACATGGTCTGATTTTTTATCTATCTGCTGCGGTTGTTGTGTCCCCTTTCTTATTTTATTTCTGAAGAGGGAGGACTAAGATTCATTACTGACTGTAACAATAGACCACCTGAATATTCGACATAAAAGAGTAAACATTATTATTACACAGTATTTAGGCGTCTTGTTTTGTTGTATACCTTTGTCTTAAAAACGAATGTATGGGGTTGCAGCTTCCAGGATTATCTCTTGTACGATAGTGCTAGCTTCACTGATTTGCAGAGTGAATGTCACAACTCCTCTCAGTCCTCCACTGCTGCTGATCTGGAGTTTATTTACGAGGTTTGATATTGGTTTCCTGCCATAAAAAAATGAATTTGAAAATTATTAAAATAGATATTCAAGTCTGCCACTGAAATCCATTACTTCCATTTACCTGGTCTCCAAGTGATAGTCCATCACATCCCAAGCATCCCAGTACAGAGGAATGTCATCAAATATCACAAACTGATTCCCATAAGAGTTTTGGGGTATGGATTCCCTGAAACAATAAACATTTAGTAAGTATGTTTACAGTTTGTCACGGTTTCCAAACTGCTCATTGAAGGCTTAAATATTACTTGTGAGATTATTAATGTATACATAAATGAACCACCAATTACACATCTTTTCTCCCCTGCAAAAAGTCCAAGCCCTCCTGAACCAAAGGCATTCTTTGCAATTACCAGGCAGCTTCTATTGTTTCTGCTCTGGCTCAACTCTCCTACATCATGCGAGTTACTACTGGTAAGTAATACTATTATAATTATTTTATAGACAATGTATGCAATGCTTTACATCAGTATTTCTCAACCTCAGTCAAGGCACCCTTTAAAATTATGGATAATCTGAAGGCACCCTTTAATATCCAGCACAATCTCAAGGCACCCAGTTCTAAAATGTAAAAAACTATTCTACACACACACATAGTACACCCAACGTTACACGCGATTTATTCAACCAAAGCAAATATACCTTTGCACACTGGTATGGACTAGTATTCCACTGTGTATCTGTTTCTCTTCCTCACTTTGCTAATGTGACCCCAAATGCTGACAGAGGGACAGGGGAAGGGCAAACAAGGATGATGTGCATGCACCCGAAGTCCTTGGTGTCATTGGTTGTTAGGAGTCAATAGATACCAAACATGTCATGCTTTAAAATTGTGCACACCGTGCAATGGCAATAAATGATGTAAATCTTACTATACATAGGCGACGCTTAAAAAGCCTTTACAGATTATCACTTTAGATTTACAGAGGAGGTCTGGTGCTAGAATTACTGCCCATGATCTGACATTCGCAGCGATACCTCACATAAGTGGGACGATTTCTGTTTGCGTGTATGCGGGACCTGAAGCCTTTATCAGCCTTTGCGCGCGAGCATGGGGGACAGGGGCACTTTCATTTTTTAAAATTATTAATTTATTTTATTTAATTTTTACTTTGTTGCTATACATTTTTTTTTTTTTTTTTAATCACTCTTTTGCTGTCACAAAATATTAAAACATCCTGTGCCAGCTATACACATGTGACAGGTACTCTTTATGGAGGGATCTGGGGTCTATAAGACTCAAAATCCCTCCTCTGCACTCCAAGATAGATGTTCTGGAATGCTTCAGAGTTTTTAAAAATGGCGCTCTTTACATCCAAGAAGCCCAGAAGTGTTGTCAGGTCATCACTTCTCCGGGAGAGACAAAGCTAATCCCAGCATTGTTCATCTGTCTAACCAGCTGGCGGATGCACCTGCTGGTTGATCGGGTCTCCTAGTGGTAAGGGAGAGACGTTGCAAGGGACAGAATGTGACATCCCCCTCCCCTGGTTGTAACAGCGATTGAGCTGCTAGTTAGCTGGTTCTGTTTGCTATTAAAAGACAGCTGGCTGCCGGCTCTAAAAAAATGGTACCAGGATGATGCCTGCAGCTACAGGCATCATCCTGGTACAACCAATTGAAGACTAGGGACGTACCAGGTACGTGACTGGTCGGCAAGTGGATATAGTACATGTACACACTTATGAGTACTAATACTTAGTAAAAACTCCTTTAATTAAAGCGGTATTAAACCCATAAGCAAAAATGTATTCTATTGCAGTTTACCAATTCTTAGATGTGATGACTGCATTAGTTTTATTTTTTTAGGTTTCCTTTTATTTTCTCCTGGTGATCTAGCTAGTAAGTCTGTTGCTAATTATTACAGTTAAAGTGTTGAGGCAAACCATTTACAACCGACAGGTGTGCTTACAATGATCAGGTTTTATTTAGAACCATTATTCCAAATAATAAAAAAGGTTGCTGTAACTGCATGTGTAACTACAGTGTGAGCCAGAGTTCAGCTTCAGTTTGTTAGTGTATCTAAATCTGCTTGTCCATCTAAACACTCCCATTCCCCCACAATAACAATGCTGCTGTACCTCGTGCTCCTTCATCCAGATTGGGGGCACATTAATACAGGAGGTGTGTTACTGGCTAGATCGCCAGGTGAAAAGAAGGATAAAAAACTAAAAAAAAGAAAAACTAATATGGCCACCACCTCTAATGATTGGTAAGCTGCAATATATTACATTTTTGGTTTAGTATTTAATACTGCTTTTTATCCCCTAGACACCGACCACATATGCGGTGTTACTGCACTGGACCTTATGTCATGGGGCCTCATAATTGTGCATCTCCCTTTGTGCTGGAGCGCGCTGCACGGCACCCCCCCAGCAAAGAGACGGGGATCTTACTGTGAGCCCCGGGTCCCATACTAACAATCAGGACCTGGAACTCTGGGTCACCTGATCGCTGTGATAGCCTCTGATTGGCTATCACAGTGATCAGTCATTGTGAAGCCCGTCCCTGTTTTATCTCTTAAATGAAAAGGAGATACATTGTATCTCTCTCTGTCCTTTCAGAGAGGGGAAAAAAAACAAAAATAAATAAATAAATAAATAAATAAATCTATAAAATATTAAAAAAAAAAAAAAAATGCCTACATCAAGGTTTGATCTAGGTCAGTGCCAGGGTTAGTGTTTGGGTCAAAAAGGTCAAAGTCAGTATATTTTGGGGCAGGATTTTTTTTTGTAATTAGTAATCAGTGTGTTTTAGGCAAGACAAAAAAAAAAATAAAATAGTAAAATGCGCACTATTGTTTTTGGGCTGTACTACAGGTACAAGCAACAAATACCATACAGAGATGTGACGTCCCTGTGATTGTCAGGAGCATTTATTTTGGGTTGTTCTTTTGGGGTAGGTTATAGTAGTAACAAGAAATATACAGCTAGATTTAAAAAACTTTTTTTTTTTTTTTTTTTTTTTTTACTATTTTGGGCCAGGTTTCCTTTGATAATAAACAAATCAGGAGATATCCATTACCATTTACCAGCAAATGAAAACCCAATTTCTCCTGAAACAAACATGGTATAATTCTCCTGGATGTTCAAAGTAGTTGAGATATGTACAAATTTACTAAACACGTGTCAAATTGTGCTTAGGCATTAGGTTTTGTTTTGCCCTTAGGCGTGAAGGGGTTAACTATGCTTTACTGTAGCAGAAACATTACTAAACCCCAGCACTGAAGTCTTGTTCATAAATTGTGGTTCTAAAATTGGGCCAACATGGTTGAATTTTGAAACAAAAATGATGTACGTGTGCTGTTTGTTGTTGTACTATTTCATGTATTGTCCCCCCCTCTATTGTACAGCACTGAGAAAACCCTTTGGCGCTATATAAACTCGATGTAATAATAATAATAATAATGTAGCTTGAGATTCTAAGTGAACATAATTTCAATGTGGTATTTAGTTAGGTCTCATACCTGTTACAGGACAACAATTTCAGAGATGTCAAATGTCCCATAGAGTCAAGGCTGGCAGAAAGTATTTCATTCTCCATGATTACAGAGCCGTCATCCTAATGGGATAGCATATGCAGGAATACATGTTTACTCACAAAGTGGGTCTTATGTACGTATATAAAACTGGACAATAAAAATGACAGTTGTAATATGGGTTGATGCAAGCAGCAATATATTTTTTGTCTGGAGCATTTTTCATAGATAAATAAAGCAATCAATTACCAAATTAATACAAAGTGAACCTACAATACTTATTTTGTATCATTTCACCTAGAAATCATTGTAGTGTCATATCTCCATGTGTAGAGAAAGATCAAATGACAGTGCTGTAGTGATGTGACATGCCCTGAGCATATCACACAGACAGGAAGCACAGTTAAAGAATACAGCACAATTAAACCCAAACCTGTATTATATTGTAGATTCATCATTTTCTTACATGTAGTGGCTGCATTAGTTTTCTTTTTAGACTTTTTTGCTTTGCTTGCACCTGGTGATCTGGCCGGCAAGTATGTTGTTTTTCAGATTTCGTACCTTACCAGACTTGGCTATCCAGCAAAATGTGGCCGTTAGATTGTTGAAACAAACCATGACACTGACAGGGGTGTTTACAATGGTCAGCTTTTATTCATTTATTTAAAACTTTTATCTTGAGAGGAGAAAATCTTTTCCTCCAAGTGCTTATACTAGAATTATAGGAAAAACGTTTTTCATTTTGAATAAAGCAAGGGAAAGTTATAACCCCTGCCAAATTTTTTTTTTTGCCATCTGTGTCCCATTGTGGAGTTTTACCTTCACTTCCTGTCCCATAGCCAAACAGGAAGTGAGAGGATATCCCTGCAAAGTAAGGGAATTCCTTGCCTCCCCTCCTATTACTTTTCTTTTAGTTTCACTTTCGATTACGATGGTAAACAGGACAAACAGAGGGTGAATCTCCTTAAATGGGGGCACAGACCGAAATAAAAACTGACAAGTGTTCGAATCCCTCTCCACTCTAACCAAAAAGAAAAAAAAAAAAAAAAAAAAAAAAAGAATGCCTTTAGTTATACTTTAACAAATTAAAGCTGAACTCCAGCTAACACTTTTTAGTCAAGTCCATCTAAATCATCTAGTGCAGTGGTTCTCAATCTGTGGGTCGCGACCCCTTTGTAATTACTGGGTAAATAATTTTATGGTTGGGGGTCACCACAACTTGAGGAACTGTATAAACGGTCACGGCATTAGGAAGGTTGAGAACCACTGATCTAGTGCCTCGAACGCTCCCCTCTTCCTAGACTGACTGCTGTTTTACAAGGGTGTCTCTGCTGCTCCAAGACAGTAGGTGTGTTACTGGACAGGATCATCATGCAAAGATAAAACCTCCACAGTTAAGGAATTGTAAAAAAACGGCAAAATATTAAAATTTTTTATCTTTAGTTTAATAGCGCTTTAAATCTGAATTCCAGGCAGAACTGAACTCATTCACACTTAATTACATTTTTTATTATACAAGCATCTTAATCTGACCTGGTAATTTCCTCTTGCACAAGATGTACAGCAGAGATCAGACTAGGAGGTGGAGAAGTAGCACAAGGAGCCAATCAGCTGTGTTGCACTGCAAGGAGCATATAGGAGTAGAGGGCAGCAGTAGAGATATCAGTCTGCTGCTTCTCCTTTCACTGTCCAATCACAAGTTGGGAAAGGAACATTTTTAAAATCCACTGATCTCAGCTATGCGCACATACAACTCATTGTAAATAAGCAAGACATTCTGTTTAGGGTGGCGACAAGCTAAGAATATAAATATAAAACATAACCTTCAACTTTATACATTTCTTCACTCACACAATTATATTTTCTGGATTCATATATACCTGCATGACAACTGTCACTGGAGTACAAGGATTAACGTTCTGAGGCATTACAACATAACCCATACTGGGCACCTTCACAAGACCTTGAAGAAAGAAATCACCACATCAAATAATATAAACAGTATACAGGTGTAACCATAAGTACATGAGAAGTTTATAAGAAGATTTATGATATGATATTAAGGGTCAGCTATTTGACCTCAGAGGGTAAACAGGTTATGATTTTGCAGATCTAATCCAGCAGGCTCATGCATTCAGTGAGTAATTAGATCTTTAGACAGAATATACCTTTATATCCTTCTGCAATTTTCAATAGATGGATGTTGATGTCCATTGTTTCCTCTCCTATGGTTTTGGACGTATAGGTCAATTAGATCATTGTTAGGTTATACCTATACATCCTTCTAAAACATTTAACAGATGGATGCCCATTATATCCTCTACAACGGTTTTGGATGTGTAGGCCAATTAAGATCTTTGATAGGTTATTTCCTTCTAGCTCTGTGAGCTTTCACATCCAGGACTGCCTCGGCAGTTGAAATCTCTTAAAAAAATCTCCCCTGAAGAAGCCCGTGAGGGCAAAACATGTAGTGAGTAACTACGATTCTATAATAAAGTTTGAATCTGAGTTCCACTCTTCATACTGAAATTGTTTTATGGTTTCTGTATTTTTTCCTTTTTTGTTTTAAAAAAATACGAAATAAAAAAATTATATAACTTAATATGTTTGGTATTCATGTTCATGCACCCTGAAAGTCCCATCTTCTTTATTGAACATTCATTGAGTAAGTCGAACCTAAAAGGATTCATTCATACAAGAGTCTATAGGTGATACTATCAGATGCGCCTGGATTAATATATACAGAGCATAACGCTAGATTGTATCTAAATACATTCGTGTTTCCGAATACACAGACATATTACAGTCTGATATGAACAGACTCATTACTTGTGTTCATATGGTAGAATATGAACACAATTTTTAGTATTAGAGAAATATATTTGCTGGCCACCTTCTGAAAATACTAGCTGTGTCTTTCATTTCAAGACCTGCCAGTCAGATCCAGAACAAGCATGCAGTAAAAAGAATCAAACTAAAATCAAAATTCTTTATCTCTTGTTCCAGGTTCAAGGCACTGAAGCTTGGGACCAAAAGGATATACCTGGTACTTACTGGTATGAAGAAGCATGTGCCAGTCCTGGACCAATTAGTAGTGTCACATGGGAGATCCATAGGCCTGCCCTCTCTAAGCCATGACTCCCTGGGCTCACAGTTTGCAGAGAGCCTTTCCTTTGCTTTTGGCAGCTAAATATAAAGATGGGGGAGCAAAATGTAGGACAAGTATGTGTTGCTAGAGAAAGCTACATTAATGTGAGCTTGTTCCACCCTGCATGGGCCCACTGCAGGTTCGCTTTAACCTGGTAACATGCATGAGATGACCATTGCCATTTAATATCTACAGTGTCACAACAAACAATCCAGTTGACTTTTTTTTGGGGGGGAGAGAAGACTATATTAAAGGTTTAAACTCCATGTCCAACCACTAGGGTTCCCCCTGAAGCATTGTACTGCCTTCTTGCTTATTATAGTATGTACACAGTATAAAGCAATTTGCAACATGAGGGATACATTCTAAAATACAGATCCATTGTAAGTGGAAATTTTATAAACACTGATGTAGCATTTTTTTTTTAATATTTGAAAGGCTTATAAACCTAAAGAAGTATCATGTCAAACATTCATTATTTCAGAATGTGAGACATGACATTGCTCATACATAACAGATACATACCGTCCAAGTCATACAATAGCAGATCTATTCTATTTATGGAAAGGATTGTACCTAATTTCTGCTCTTCTGATGTCCCTGGCATAGAAATAACTTCAGTGCGCTCCCAAGGCAAAGTGTTTATCACCGATACAGCCGGACTGGGTTGGGACTGGAGCACGGTGTGTAATATAGACTGTAAAGCTTCAACAAGAAGTTTTGCTCCTCCTTCTTGGATTTCTGTTGACAAACAATATTTTCCATATACATCTCAGTTAAAGAACTTAAAAGAGTTCATTAAAGATTATGAAAACCCAAAAGTTTAACCAAACATGTTGTTGCACGTGTTCCTGTTTTTACTCACAGTGCTCCACAAAAAAATAATTCTGCTTGAGTTTAATTCCACTTTAAAGTGTAACTAAACCCACAACAGTAAAGTCAGTCTGTATAGGTTATACTCACTGTGGAACCTAAGGGGTTAATCCTCTGCATTGTGTAAAAAGGACATTTGATCCTGTGTTCTCTGCCTCTCCCCTTGTTCAAATGCCCACATCTTATTTCCTGATAAGACAGACTGAACCCGTAGTCACATGCATTTTCTTGGGAGAGTGCATGTGATCAGCACAGGGCCAATCAGCACTGTCCGACAGAGGGTCAGGGATTTTGCCTTATACAGCAGAAAGAAAACACCTCCTACAAGTTTTAATCAGTGCTCTGCTGGACACTGATAGAAGTCACAAGACTGTTCTAACTGCTGATGAGAACATTTAGTAGTTTATATTTACTAAAATAATTGCATTTCCATGTTCTGTGTACAGAAAAGTTACAGGAGAGATATAAAAACGGGTAGAAAATTAAAGTGTTCCTAAACCCAGGACCCTGCATTCACTATATCTGGTGAATCACAGCACACACAACATGGAAATGCAATTTTAGTAAATATAAGCACTCGTGACTTCTATCAGTGTCCAGAAGAGCACTGGTTAAAGCTTGTAGGAAGCGTTTTCATTCTCCAGTTTGTCCTATGAGGGTGCATGACCCCTATCCCTCTGTCTGAACAGTGGTTATTGGCCCAGTGTGGATTGTGAGGATCGCGCGTCAGACCCCTGCCCTTCTCACCAAACTCGTGACTGAAGGACTGGCCAATCTAAAACTGCGATGTCACGTGCGTAACAATGCCACGCCCAACTGCACAACGATTTTCCAGCTAATGGACCACAAATCGATGTACCAGCAGCCTGGGAGCGATTGTTACTGGCTCAGGTTAATTACGCAATTAACTCTTCACACTGCCACCACCTCCTTTTTGTACAGAGAAAGAGGAAACGCGGCAATATCAGCAATAACACTATGATGGTTGAGATAATCATCTGTATAGCACTGTCATCGCAAACAGGTTATACAGAGGATTAAACAAACACAATAGCGCTATTTTAGAGGCAGGAATTCGTAAGTTGCATTAAACGAGCTATAGAAACAGTTCAACACTTTCAGAAAGAAAGATTTATTACTAAAAAAGGTCAAAAGGGTGCAATAAAAATATTTACAGAAAAAAAAAGTGTATGTGTGTGTGTGTGTGTATATATATATATATATATACACACACACATACATATACACACACACACACACACACACACACATATATACACACACACCTATCTAATATACATATATATATTGTGACAGTAGGGCGATCTGTCACCCAGGATTCTCAACGAGGCAGGTTGAGGGGCTCCAGGGTAAGTGTTGGATGCAGAGGAAAGTGGCCTTTCACTTCCCTCCTTTGTTTGTAAGGTCTGTTTTGGGATCTGGAGCCTGGAGATTTCAAAGAGATCTGGGAGGGATGAAATCTCCAATCCTGGGACCAGGTTTTGGAATAGGCCAGGAGACTGATCGCACAGGTGTGTGCAGGCCTTTAGATATAGAGTCAGGACCAGAGTTTCTGGGCTCCACCCCGGCAGATAGGAGTCAGGAGGGCTCCACCCCGGCAGATAGGAGTCAGGAGGGCTCCACCCCGGCAGATAGGAGTCAGGAGGGCTCCACCCCGGCAGATAGGAGTCAGGAGGGCTCCACCCCGGCAGATAGGAGTCAGGAGGGCTCCACCCCGGCAGATAGGAGTCAGGAGGGCTCCACCCCGGCAGATAGGAGTCAGGAGGGCTCCACCCCGGCAGATAGGAGTCAGGAGGGCTCCGCTTGGAAGACGGGAGGTCACTGCCTGGAAGTCAGGTGGGCTCCACCTAGGAGAGGTGGAAGCCAAAAAGCAGCAAGGGGCTGCTAGAGACTAGTGGTGTGCTAGTGGCCAGCTGTGTGCACGGGCCATAATTCTTGAAGAAGTCTGCAGGAGACAGACAGCAAGCGGAGTATAAGCCAGGAAGCTGAACCGTTGTTTTGTTTGATGGTGGATACCCCTGCTGGGAAGCTTTATATTATGGGACATTTGTTTAAATAAAATTGGGCAAAAAGGCCCTTAAAGAAGCGAGTCGCTGTGTGCTTAACAAGAAGAGCTCTACCACTTTGAAGCGAGTTCCCACAATATATATATATTGTGTTGCCTTCACAGGCTAATTGAATTAAAGTTACTTATATGGGACATGTAGTGTACCACTGCCATCTAGTGGCAAACATGAATGGCAGTTCTCCTCTGGATATGTAAGCTCTCAGACAGGAAGTGACTCTTGGTTTAGGAAGCTCGTCAGCCATTTTAGACTTCTATTAACTGTGGATGCAGTGTGCTTGCTTCTCTCCCAAGGGGCTTGAGACATCACCTGTAAGTGCCTTTCTTCAGTGTCATCTGTCATTTATGTTACACTAGTTATTCTATGTATACTGATATGCTGTTATTGTATTGTGTTTCAGTTTCACCTATAAAATAAAGTTGGATTCTTTGGTAGACAACACAAGCAGTGGGCTTCTGTTTGCTGGAGATTCTGACAAGGGTTTAGCTGTCCGTTTAGAGCCACACATAGTCAGTGTTTTGAGAACGGAACATATATTTATACATATACATACATACATACATACATACAGTAGACCTAAACTAGACCTAAAGGAGTAGACCTAAACTAGTAAGGAGTAGACCTAAACTAGAGCCAAAATCTCTCCTAGTTCATATTTTGGCTCCTAACTTTTCCTATGCACAAGTGACATTCCACCTGCAGGTAGATTAATATGCAGACGCATTTGAGGAACGGTTACATATGAAATACATATTTGAAGGGTTCAAGAGAAGTAATTTTCTGCTTTCCTAGGTATTTCAGTCAGGGAGTGTGACCTATCAAACGGTTTGTCTTCTTGTGGCCAATCTGAAGATATACCTGGTTTTTATGCAAGTCTCTCATATTCCAAGATATGAGACTGTTAGAAGCTTTCCATAACCTAATATCTTCTTATTAACAGTACTAACATAAGTATGAATGAGTTGGATCTTAATAGAATAATTGAGTTATTATTATATTTATATTTGTTCTAGATTGGGGAAAAGTAAGGAATTAGACTTCATAGTCTGTGAATATACATATGAACATATATCTTGGGTTTTTCCTCTACATTCAAGCCACATATGAGAGCAATTAGCTATACCTTCCCCCATCCTCCCCCATCTATGTAAGAGATTATATGTTTCACTAACTAGTGAATTGTTCGGTTTACAAGGTTTATACTGTAATATTTCTTGATTACGATATTTATATACGAGATAACTCTTAGTAAGATTACTTTTAGGAGAATATATATTTTATATATATATATATATATATATATATGTGTGTTATACATCTAATGTATTCTAATTGATGGAATGTCAGTGAAGTTTTGTCTAGGCCTTCTTAGGTTACGCTCAGACTTTAGGAGAAGTAGACTGGAGGTTTGTTATATATACACATCTGTTTCCAATTATCTTTGTGGGACTACAAGTATACCAGCCCATTTTTAGGAGTTGGTGGGGGCTGGATTGCTTTTTCTAGAGCAGGACAAAGGTTTAAAGCTTACATTCTTTGGGCAGCAAGGCGAAGGGAGCTGCTTGCTCATATCCACACACATTCATATTATACACACACAATTACATACAATTTTATTATTAAGAACTTAACTATACTTTTTGGACTTTATTTAAACATTCTGTATTCCAATATTTTATTTCTAATTTTATGCAACATTATAATTAAATCATCTTTTTGAGTTTATGCAAGAAGTGGAAGGACTTTCTATTTGAACATTTCTCATCAATACAAGTTAATAAAATATCGAGACAATACGATATTTTACAGAGACATAGGGGAAAAATAGATTTTAAAAAGTTATCTAGTCTACTCCTCTGGAATGTCTTTGAACTCAGGGAAAGGCTTGGGTTATCTTTCACGATGTGCTAGATTGCACAGGTTCTTTGGACAGCGAGGACCCAGCTCCCTTGGGGGGTTTTATAGCTCGGAACTCTCAGCTGGGCTCTGGCCTCCTGTGACACTGCCAACACACAGGCCATATGTCAATGTGGCTGAACAGAGGAAGAATGAGAATGAGGGGGGATATGTTTGTACAAGATGGAGGATCCTTTGCCAAGATGGAGGTTGGAGCCAAGATGGTTGAAGCGCGTTCATCTCTGTGGGCATGACTGCTACACCACTGATCATATGAACCATCCCCCCCAAAAGAAAAACCACTGCAGCAATAAGCACCAAACTGAGTGCCACCTAGAGCTCTGTACCATCAGTAAATGGAACTGGGGACAGTAGGAGGAGGATCAGAGAAGACAAGATCAAACTGCTTTTTTTTTTTTTTTTTTTTTTTTTTTTTTACACAGAGGATTAACCCCTTAGGTTCCACAGTGAGTATAACAAGAATGCTTTGCTGCACGTACAGACGGATTTTACTCTTGTGGGTTTAGTAACACTTTAAAAACTTTCCACTTTCAATTATGGATACCACAGTACAACATTCTACAGGTATGTAAAAAGAAAAAGAGTAGATCTCCTTACCCTTATAGTAGTGCATTGCATCTTCCACAACGTCCTGGATACAGCTCCCTGGTAGGACATCATGGAACTGATTCAATAATAGCAACCTTAGTAGAAAGCAAATACAGAGGGCATAGATATACGGCACAGCCATTGCACATTGCCATCAGTTTCTCTGAAAGCTGCACATGAATTTATAAAACACAGTAATGAATAATCCTACAACCAATTCTATAGAGGTTTCCATAGCTTTAAGAATATGACATCTAGTAAAAAGCCTGGCAGCTGGTTCGGTTTCACAAAAATCCTAAAACTGTGGAGCTTAAATAAAACTTCAAGAGACTCGTTTTGGTAATTCTCTGCAGTGCAGGAAGAGCTCCAGGAGCAGTTTTTTATAACAAGATCACAGATGTAAATATCTTTCAGATGCACATTTTTATTTAGCAAGTATTAGATTTCAAAATTTAGAGCCATTTATGATCGTGTGACCAGTAAACAAAGTGGATATTTTTTTTTGGGGGGGGGGGGGGGGGGGGGGAGAAAAAGCTTGGTTTTTTACTTTAGATCATAGAATTTCACCGTGGCACAAAATAATGCATCCCACAAAACAGTTTACCATACCTCCAAAGGTGCTGAAGATTAGAAGTTGGATAGATGAAATGGCCATCTTCTGCATGGGCAACAGAGCTGAGGAATTCCACATTGTGTAGTAACTGCTCACACTGCCGGTTCCCTTTCTTGATCTTTAAACAGCAAAACGACAGCTTATATCTTTGCTCGTTTTATCATCTTCATGTAAAACAGCCTGTTAAACGATAAAGTTTGGAATACATAACATACAGCAGTAATGGTATACCTGTGCTTGTGTTGTATAGGTCCCATTGTGCAGCTCCAGGAACAGTTCTCCTACCCAGGTACAGAGCTGAGAAGTATCTGTCTCCAAAGCAGAAAAAAATTTGTCCGGGGAAGACAGTTGTACTCTGCAATACAGATGTTAATACATAAATACATATGGACTACAGTTTAAGAACAACCAGCTATATGAAAAAACTACCCCTGCACACCACCTAAAAGTAACCACCACCACCAACTAAACACAGGCTGCCAGCATAATCAAAACAGGTGTATAGGCACTACAACCTTTCCACATAATAGCTCCACCTGGTGCTCAGACCTTGAGGCTGCTGACACCGCCAACATACCAGAATAGGAAAAAGGAATGGTCTGCACTCAGGAGGACATCCAAAAAATAGTATTCCAATATTGAAAACGGCATGTAAAATGCTGTAAAACATCCTACGCATTTCGGATGTTAGTCCTTCGTCATGGCTGATAAAAAAAAACAAAATGAGTAACTTAAACAAACGCATTTCAGTTTAAAGTTGTGCATTTTGTTTTATCAGCCATGACTAAGGGCTAACATCTGAAACGCGTAGGATGTTTTACAGCATTTTACATGCCTTTTCAATATTGGAATACTATTCTTTGGAAGTCATTGAGTGCAGACCATCCCTTGTATTATTCTGGTCTCACCCCACTTATACTTACCTGAGCCTGATCTCAATCCAGCACGGTGAATGAAAGCAGTGGCGCTCTCCTCTCTCTCCCTCCTCATAGGGTAGACTGATAGTAGCGAAAGCAATTGACATGGGAATGTGGGAGGTGTGCCAAGCTGCGCTGTGTCTATAGACGCAGATCGGGCAGCTCGGGGCCTGCATGATTTCCCCATCATAGAAAGTGGCTTTCTATGGGGGCACTTGCCAAAAAGAGGAGGAGGAGGAGCCAGGAGCGCCAGCGGTTTGCGAGCTGTCACAATATTAAAAAAAAAAAAACAAAAAAAAAAAAAAAAAAAAAAAAAACACACACAACACAACACACACACACACATCAGAGTGGGGCTCCACCCACCCGGCCTCATCATTCATTCACAGAGTTCTGTGAATCGGAAACTATAAGTCTTGTAGTTCTCAATTACTACCACGGTGTTGTTGAGCACTATGGTAATTAACTGCTTCCGTACCGCCCTGCTATACTGCTTCCGCACCGCCCTGCAGAGCCATACAAAACAATGTGCTTACAGTGTAAAGCACACAGGTAACCCTTTGATCACCCCACGTTAACTCCTTCTTGCCCAGTGTCATAAGTATAGTGAGTGCTTTTTATTAGCACTGATCACTATTGGTGTCACTGGGGATGTCAATGACACTAAGTCAGTTCCCCCCCAGTGTCAGAATGCCTGCTGCAGTCCCGCTAGAAGTCGCTGACTGCCACCATTACTAGTAAAGAAAAAAACAAAAAAAAAAAACACTGACAGTCTGCTGGAGACCTGCATGGCACAAGTCATCTGCTAATTGCTGGTGCAATGCTTTCCAGACTCCTAAAAAAACTACTTTGGAGCGTTTTTGTGTTTAGCATTTTTTTTTTTCTGCCAGAAAACCGCTCATAAAAACGCAAAGCAAAAGGTTTTTTTGTTTTTTTTTTTTTTATTTCTGCCGCTATACGACCTAATGTGCATGAACACATAAAATAATATTTGCTTTCAGGCAAAAAGCTAAATTCCTCTAGGAGCAGCGGTTTTTTTTTTTTTTTTTTTTTTTTTTTTTTTTTTAAAGCCAGTGTGCATGGGCCCCAAAAAATTTTAAAATGGTTTCACAGCAGTTCTGGACTAGTAGTTTTAATTCTGAATACACATATTCACATGCTTGTAAGGGTTCCTCTGCATATTCTGGTTTTTTTTACTGAACACCAAAAAACAGCTTGTCTGTCTTAACTTAAAATGGCTCTATAGTATATTTTTGTATGGCCATGGCAGGGATAGTTTAATTTGCCTTGAAGGCAGGAACTGATACTCAGATAGTGCTGCAGAATAAGTAAATGTAAATCTTTTTAAAAAAGGACGGTCACTCGTTACTTCATTAACTTTTCATTCTGACCTGGGCAAGCCATCTGTGTCCTTCATCCTTCTAAATCTTCCCAACATCTTTTCAGTAGGACCTCCACCGCCATCACCAAACCCATAAAGGGCAATGCCAGAGTTCACTCGGCCTTTATCACGGTTGTTCTTCACGGTTTTCAGCATCTGAAAAATTGTCATGTTTATTTCACACAAAGTACGCTTTGAAATTCAGGAATCCTTAAGAAAAACATTGGTATATTGTTGAGAAATAGTAAGGATAGCAGGGGTTAGTGGGTATTGTTGCTGTCTGATAAGATGAAGAGGGTCCCTTTTCTTGCAACACACAGGTTTTAGAGCAGATTCACACCAGAACATGGTGCAGGAAAGGCACGTTCTGGCTATGTTTCTGCACTGTATTCAACACACAATGCATTTGTGATTTGCTGGGGTGCCAATAAATTGTTAAAGGAGGAGAAGTAGGACCACAGCTCTCTTGGCCCCACTTCTTCTATAGGTCACAGGAGTGCATTTTGTTCAGCACTCCTGTGACTTGTTTACCGCCTCCAGCAGGCTAAAGCACATTGTCAGCTGACGTCACTCAGTTGATCCAGACACTGGAGAGAGCTTGACATTAAAGTAGGGATCCACCTAGATTTCTGACCAGCAGCTGGCTCAGCCTCTCATCAAGCTCCTGAGCACCTCAGCAAGCAGCCCCCTGTCCCATCCACAGCCCTGTGCTCCAGTGAGTGCTGGAGGGGCAGAGCAGAGAATCAGAGACTGAGTCAACAACTCTCTGCTCACTGAAGTCTGAAAACTGAGCGATCAGCGGTCTTTGGTTCTCAGTATTAGAGGCAGTGGGGAACCAAATCTGCATCCACATAGGCAAGTGTTTTTTTTTTAAATTCCTGAATGTCCTTTTAACGGCACCCAAAATGCAGATCGCAAATGCAGTACACAGTATTTTTCCAAAAGTAGGGCATGCACTTTGTGCGACCTGGTGCAAATTCAGACCGTTAAAATGAACTGGCTGAAAATCACACTGTAGTGGAACGCAGAGGAATGTGGATTGCATTCCTATGTGATTCAAATGTGAACCATCCCTTACTGTCCTCAGAATCCGCAAATTTATCTTCAGTTCCAATGGTGTGTGAAACTAAGCATTGCAGCTGTATAATCTCGTTTAAGGATAGAATGGTATATTTCAAATTGTTTCACATAGACTCCATAATTTAGGTCTAAGCTCAACTTGCTTTTGGGGCTTTGGAGAAGCTACCACTTTCTTCCACTGTTTCTAGACCCATCACTATAATTGGGATTACTGGTTGAAAGTAAAGCACACCTAAAAAGGCGAAGCTGTTTTTCTTTTTTTTTTTTTTAATTTTTTTTTTTTAGTTATAGTTTAGTTATACTTTAATGATTATTTTTCTTTGGCACTGGGACTCACTATTTCTCAACTTAAAAATTGTTTATTAGGTATCATTGGAGACTTAATGTAAATATGCTAAGGTGCTGCTGCACACAATCTACATGAATGCCAAGAAATTAACCCTTCCATTGCTGCCTGGAAACACTAGTTAACTCTAACATGTCCCTGTATAACCTTGGCTACAAGCTCAGTCACAAGTTTTAAATAAAATCTAGGGAACCCATTTTGCTTCTGCTCATACTTGCTCTTATGAAACCCAGGACTCTTAAAATTTACCGTTGGTTCATTGCACTGTACGCAGGAGCTAGACGTCTAGAGTTCTTGTGAAATAAGACAAGAGACACTGTTCTGTTTGTCATATCTGTATAAACATTTCTTTAAAAAAAAAATAAAACAAATACATTATGTGCTGTTTCTTGGTGATGACTGCTATATTTGAAGGGTAAACTTTAGCCTTTAGTCAAGTTAAAGTTTTTGCTCATTTGTACTTAAAAACACTACAGGATTTTAAACATAGGGAATATGTATAAAAATACTTCAAAGTTTCTAGGACATATCCCCTTTATCATGTTCCTTTCCCCTGCTGTTAAAAGAAATTACCACCTGTCAAAATGGCAGCCAGGATTTATTTTGTATCATATAGCAAGAGCAGCTGCAGTGCCTTTGTAAAATGACAATTGCAGGTAGTGTCATTGCCTAATACAGTCTAACAATGTGTGGTCACACTGTAGTTACCATTTCATTCACATTTTTTTGATCCGCATATAACATTGGCTAAAAGAAATGTTACAAGTAAAAAAATAAACATATCTATTTAACCTTTTATTAACCAGAGTTACATTTCTTGTGAGGAAAGACATTTTGTGAAAAATGCACTACACACACACACACACACACACACACACACCACACACACACACACACACATAAAAGTCAGTCTTGTGGCTGTGGTTCTTACTGCTCACCCGAGCTCTGCTTTTCTAACTAACTATATACAAAACCTGCGCTTTAGGAATTTGCATATAAAAATAGCAGCTGACACAATAAATAGGTGAAGAAAAAACAAAACAAAAAAAAAAAACACTTAGTGTAACGCTTAAAATATTAGTTAAAGAATAATAGTGTCCAGACCCCACAAAAGTAGGATAAATGTAAAATAGAATACATTAACCACATGCCGCCCAGCCACTGTAGAAATACGGCGGCACGGCTGGGCAAAACCACGTTTTTAAAACGTGTTTGCAAAACAGGTAGGGGCGCGCGCGCGAGGCGCGCCCCCGCCCTGCCGATCGTAACCGCGGATATCAGTCGCCGGGTCACAGCCATTCGTTACCGGCTGTGTCCTGCTGATTAGCCGCAATCACTGACAGAGAGCAGGGCTGCAGTAACTCTGCTTTCTGTCAGTTCCCTGTTGGCTCCTGACATGCTGAGTCGGAGAGAAGAGTTTCTCTCCCGATCAGCCTGTCCCCGTGCAGTACACACCCCCGCCACCTAGTAAACCACTCCCTACAGTTAACCCTTTCAGTAAATAAAAGTTAACCCCTTCCTCCCCAGTGTACAGTGTCAGTGTTTTTTTTGTTTGCACTGATCACTGTATTGGTATCACTGGGGATGTCAGTGACTCCAAGTCAGTTCCCCCCCCATATCAGAATGTCTGCCGCAGTCCCGCCATAAGTTGCTGATCGCCGCCATAAGTCGCTGTTCGCAGCCATTATTAGTATATCAAAAAAAAAATTTAAAATCCCAGTATTTTTACCACCATTTGAAAAAACGCTATAACTTTCACGTAAACCAATTAAATTTACACGTACTGTTTTTTTTTTTTTTAAAAGCAAAGACATGTCGCAGAATTTTGGCCGAAACTTATGATGAAATTTTATTTTTTTATTTTTTTTTACTGGGCATGTTTTATAGCAAAAAGTTCAAAATATTGTTTTTTTTTCCCTCAAAATTGTCAGTCTTTTTTTTCATAGCGCAAAAAAAAAAACAAAAAAAAAAAAAAAAAAAAACACAGTCGCACACACAGGCAATCAAATACCACCGAAAGAAAGCTCTGTGTGAAAAAGAGGACATAAATTTCATTTATGTACCGTATTGCATGACCGCGCAATTGTCCGTTAAACTAGCACAGCGCTGTATAGCAAAAAAAGGCGTAAATTGCAGTATTTATACCAGTTTGTAGACGCTATAACTTTCACACAAAGCAATCAATATACACTTATTGGGATTTTTTTTTACCAAAAACATGGAGCAGAATACATTTTGGCTTAAATTTATGACTAACTTTGAGTTTACGATAGATTTTTTATAGCTGAAAGTAAAAAAATATCGTTTTTCTTCCACATTTTTGGTCTTTTTGTTTATAGCGTGAAAAATAAAAAGCGCACAGGTGATCAAATACCACCGAAAGAAAGCTCTATTTGTGTGAAAAAAAGGCTGTAAATTTCGTTTGGGTGCAGCATTGCATGACCGCGCAATTATCAGTTGAATTAGTGCAGCGCCGAGTAGCAAAAAGAGGCCTGGTCATTAACCACTTGCCTACCAGGCACTTATACCCCCTTATTTACCAGGCCAATTTTCAGCTTTCAGCGCTGCCGCACTTTGATTGACAATTGCACGGTCATGCAACATTGTACCCATATGAAATTTTGATCATTTTTTTCTCACAAATATAGCTTTCTTTTGGTGGTATTTAATCGCCACTGGGCGCTTTACTTTTTGCTCTATAAATAAAAAAAAGTGCAAAAAATTTGAAAAAAAAAAAAAGTTTCTTTGTTTCTATTATAAAATTTTTCAAACAGGCATTTTTTCTCCTTCACTGATGTGCGTTGATGAGGCAGCACTGATGGGCACTGATAGGCGGCACTGATGGGCACTGATAGGCGGCACTAAAGGGCACTGATAGGCAGTACTAATGAGGTGGCATGGATAGGCGGCACTAATATGCAGCACTGATAGGCGGCACTGATAGGCGACACTGATGATGGGTACTGATAGACGGCACTGACTGGCATCACTGCTGGGCACTGACTGGCGGCACTGACCAGCACAACCCCTGGGCACTGACTGGCGGCACTGACCAGCACAACCCCTGGGCACTGACTGGCGGCACTGACTGGCAGCACTGCTGGGTGGCACAGGTGGGTGGCACAGGTGGGCACATGTAGGTGGCACTTCTGGGCACATGTAGGTGGCACTGTAGAGTGGCACAGGTGGGTGCACTGCTGGGCACAGGTGGGCGGAGCTAGTGGGTGCACTGCTGGGCACAGGTGGGCGGAACTTGCGGGTGGCACTGCTGGGCACCGATCATCAGGGCACTGATCATCAGTGCCGATCCCCGCTCTGACAACTGCCGGTTCTCGGCAGTACTTTCCTCACGATCTGACAGCGTGAGGAAAGTGCAGCCGAGAACCGGCACTTGCATTTCCCTCTGATCAGCGTGTCATTGGACACCGCTGATCAGGTGGTAAAAGGCCACTGTGATTGGACTTTTACCACATCACGTGATCAGCTGTGTCCGTAGGACACAGCGATCACGGAGATCGCCAGGTGCGCGCCCCCTGGGGCGCGCAGGAGAGCGCGTTCTGGGAGGACGTCATATGACGTCCACTCAGAACTGGCCGGCCGCAGTGAAGCCGTCATTCGGCTATCTGCGGTCGGCAGGTAGTTAAGGGGGGTAAATCCTCAGGAGCTCAAGTGGTTAAATAAAGTCTATTTAAAAGTCCACATGATCCAGTGGTGATGGTGCCTAGTGAACCAAAAACTAGAAGGCACCATCACCACTGGATCATGTGGACTTTAATAGACTTTATTCAATATATTATTTTACAATTATCTTACTTTTTTGTGGGGATCTGAACACAATTATTTTTTATTGTTAACTAATATTTTAAGTGCTACACAAAGTGTTTTTAGTCTGCTTTTCTTACTATTCACCTCTGAGCGCTGCATTTCTTACTACTTACCCCTAAGCTCTGCATTTCCTACTGCTCACCCCTGAATCCTTCATTACTATTGACCCCTGAACTCTGCATTACTATCTACTGAGCCCTGATCTCCACAAACAATCCATACTTTTAATGGGGATATGCTAGTTTAGTTCTTAGAAAGAAAAAAAAAAATCCTGATAATCTTTGATCTTTCAAGTTGTTTATGTTGCCTGCCTTGTTGCCTACCCCAGTCTTAGGGTCGTCTCACGCTAGGAAATCACACAGGTACGTGCTGCATATTCCTGTGCAATGCACATGCAGTTCAATGCGGTGCATGCACTACTTTTGGATACCCAATGCAACCAGTTCACATGCTACTTCTGTACCATGCGATCTGATGCAGGCAAATGCACTGCATTTGCGACCTGCATTTGGGGTATCGTTAGCTTAACATTGACACCCACTGCAGATTGCAACAAGAAATAAATGTATTGTTAGAGTTTACACACAAATTAAGTAATTGCAAAGTTATTGTAGAACAAACAGGCCCATAGTGAAAATATAAAAACTTTTTTGGCCCATAAAAAAAAAAAAAAAAAAAAAAAAGGTATGAGCGCTGAAGTGGTAAGCATACAATTAAAAGCAATCCAATTCCAGCTAACTCATCACTGTCAAACAATATATGCATGTACATGGCATGAAAACATTACAAACGCAGAGCAGATCATTAGACATGCAGCTACTTACCTCCTCCACTGTGCCCTTCATTCCATAGGAATCCCCTGGGGGGGGAAGTGAGCCAGAACCTTTGAACCATCAATTCCTGACCAATGAAAGGTATGATGCTGCAAAAAAGGCAAAGTGCTGAATATGAACAATTCAGAGTATGAAAGCACATAAATCCAATTCAATAAAACATCAACATCACCGTTGTATTTACCCCAGCCATAAATAGTGAACACAAAGTGGAAAATATATTTTACTAAGAGAAAAAAAGTCTAGTTACCACTTCTAGGGAAGAAAAATACACACCATGTCTACATTACCTTACAAAAACAATGCAGCTAAATTACTTCTTCTGGAGTAAAGGAATTATTTTATTGGAAAGGGGGGGGGGGGGGGGGGGGGTTATGTACAGGTGAGTAAGCAAGTTAACTGCAGAGACAAGTCTTTAGCTATGGAGACCTGCCTCAAATCTAGCACTGGAAGCTTGCAGTTCTAATAGGTTTACATTAGTGGAGCACAGAAATGAAAATTCTGGATGTAATTGGCAGAAAACCAAAACCAAAAATGCGTACACACACACACTTTTTATCATCAATTTACATGCATATGAAATACAAAAATACAATGCAGTAACATAAAATAACTTTTATTAAAAGTAGCAAACAAAACTTGGACAGAAAATAAAATATATATAAAATTAAAAAAAAAAAACAAAAAAAAAAAACACCACAGGCATTTTTGCAAGTTATTGGGACGCGATTTTGCATAGAAGTCAATTACCATCGGCACCTTTTTTTCCTATTGGCAAAATGCTGATAACCCTATCTTTGGCTGTTAATTTTCAGTGGCCGATATACTGGTGCATCACTAGCCTACATCTAATCACAACATTCAAAGTAATAGTAAAATATATATCTATGTGCATAATGGACATAAGAATTAACTCATGGTATAAAACATTTGAGTTTATAAATTACCCAAATATTCATGCATATGACCAATAATATACATGCAATATTAAACTGGAACTAAACTCTCTCCATCAACATTAAAGTGGCTGTAAAGGCTTAGGTTATTTTTTACCTTAATGCATTCCCTGCATTAAGGTAAAAAAAACCTTCTTAATGCAGCCCCCCCCCCCCAGCCTCACACTTACACGAGCCCCAAGACAGCTTCTAATAGTGTAGTAGGTCTTTAATGGTCAAAATTCCAGCATAAACAGAGAAATAAAAAAAACTTACATCCGGATCTGATAAGTCAACCAATCAGGATGGCCTTGTGGTATATGCACACAGGTCAGGGGCACCTGCATTAAAGACCTACTACACTATCAGAAGCTTTTTTTGGGGCTCATTATTTCCATGTGAGCCCGTTTTTGAAGGTTCCTGAGGATTTGGATGATATATGACTTCCCCTTTTCCCTTGCCGACGATGGCCCTGGTGGAATGCTTAAGAATACACCTAGACTGATGACATCTAGTGGCCGACTTGCTGATGACATCTGCCTGGTATCACAAGTCCAGAGCACCAGGAGCAGGTCTCAATTGCTCCATGCGCAATCTGGTTAGTGCATTATTTGTACATTCACAACAACACAAGAGTCACGGTTTTCTTGATCATGGACTGTTGGAACACCTGCACTTAATCACTTTATTATAAGGACTGAGTTATCTAACATATGTTATTGTGCATTATTTAATTATTTAATAATTTAATATAATAATAATAATAATAATAATAATAATTTATTTTCTTCACTTGATTATACTTATATTAGCGCTGCATACCTATTTTTATTTCCATACTGGGTTGAAAGGTTGCCTTTATGCTAGCGGCTTTATATTCGATTATTGTTCCCAGCGCTCAATTACTACCTTTTCAAGTTTTTCTTTTTTGTCTCAATGTGACTTTTATTTTTTTTTTATTAAAGAGGTTAAGACTTTTTTATTCTGACATGGCATTACATCATAACTCACAGGAAAAGCATTGACCAGACTCCAGCTCAACTTTTGGGTCAAGAAACGGTGGATCCCACAGCCATTCATCAGCTGAGGCAGCTGGGCGGAATATCCAAATGTGTCCGGTAACCAAAACTAAGGAGAAACCAAAAGTAATGCAAATCTAGTAACAGTAATAGAACTCTGGAAAATGCCATAGGGGTGCTAAAGTGAAGTGCAGTGAGCCTGTGTTTATGTTTATTTCAAATATCCAATCATGTAGGAAAAAAAAAACAAAAAACAAAAAAAAAGGAAAAATCTTACTGCTCATAATTAAATGTTTTAGGTGAACACACCTAAAACACTTGCCTACTGGGTACTTATACCCCCTTCCTGCCCAGGCCCATTTTCAGCTTTTAATGCGGTAGCACTTTGAATGATAATTGCGGTCATGCAACACTGTGCCCATATGACATTTTTATCATTTTTTGTTTTTTTTTTTTAGACAGATAGAGCTCTCTTTTGGTGGTATTTAATCATTCGGTTATAAAATTTTGTAAATGCATAATTTTTTGCCTTCACTGATGTGTGCTAATGAGGCTGCAGTGATGGGCATTCACAGGCATCACTGGTGGGCACTGAAAGGCAGTACTCATATGGCACTGACTGGCAGCTCAGATGGGCACTGATATGTGGCATTTATGTGCACTGGTAGGAACTGATGTGGCCTTGATGTGCACTGACAGGTGGCATTTAGACACTGACAGGTGGCACTGATAGGGCTACACTGATTATCAGGGCACTGATCAGTGCCTTGATGATCAGTGCAGATGTCCCCACTGAGTAATGACGATTACCAGCTCTCCTCTCCTCAAGGGCTGTCAGCATGACAGCTCGTGAGGAGAGGAATGCGGATAACCGGCATTTCCTTATTTACATGCGATCAGCTGTGATTGGACACAGCTGATCACATGACAGAGCCGAAGTCATCTGCTCTTTCCACTGATTGGTGATCTGCTGTGTCCCAGGGACACAGTGCACCACTGATCGGCATGCACGCGTGGTTAGAGCGGGAGGACGTCTTAGGACATCCTCCCAAAACGAGAAAACCGGCGTGCTCCCATCACCTCCTTATATGGCGGGCGGGAGGCGGTTAAAGTGACACTAAATAACATCCTTATTTTTCCAAAAATAATCCACACACATCCACTACATAATGGCTCTGCAATCTGTTTTTCATGAATAGTTTCCTACTGTGCTTTTAGGTCTCCTTGTAACATCCTCCATTGAGCTCCCAAACCTCTCTTTCTCGCTCACTTCTACCTGGAACGAGCAGTGCACTTTAGTTGTGGTCATGAGCACTGCTCTATGCACACTAAAAATCTAACACAGTTTGTTTCAGGAGCAAGTGAGAGAGGGTGCCTAGGTTCTTATATATAGTGGGACCATGGAGAACGAACATATCCACCCTCTGACAGGAAGTCAAATCACAGCACCAATTAAAAAAAAAAAAAAAAAAAAAAAAGGAATTTGGAGATGGCTGAGAGCAACAGAATGGACTTAGGAGTTAAGAATACATACTCTAAAAAAAAAAATATTTTTTCAAACCATAGTTTAGTAACATTTTAAGTAAATCAGCCCTAATGGGTCTAATGGGACAAGTCAGTCTACTACAGGAAAACACTGTCACTGACATCCCTAACAGATTTATGAAGTAACATGGCAATTAAACCAGTGTTGGTTAGAGTTTGTCTTTCATTCATTTAATATTTAATTCCATTTTATCTACAATACCTTGTGCTGACAATAGTGTAAAACTATAATAAATATCCAAAAAGCATGTCTCTGATGAGTGTATTTCCAAAAAGACAAATAACAGTGCCCTCCACATATTTAGGGCCAATAGTGTTAAATCTAAGATGTGCAAAACACAAAGAAATGTAAACTTCTAGGATACACCATGCTAACATTCCACATATCCATTCCCATGACATGCATCTAACCTCTGAGCACATTTTGTCAAACTCCTCTTGGAAGAAGTGCTGGCCCAGTAGGAACTGGCGCACCATCGACTCCCCACTGGGAAGGTTTCCATCCTATGGAACAGAGTAAACTATAAAGCTATGTGAATTTAGGCAGAATACATGCATTCCAAATATAAAACAATACAATACATGGATGCTTCAAAAACAGACATATGAGCAAATCCAAGTCCCTCATTAAAAATAAAATGCATGCAGTGATTATACATACTGTACATACGGTAGTAAATAACACCCTTATACAAGTGGCTCCCATCATTAACAGCTTAGCTCCACAATTCAATAGTACTAGTAAGTGCAGGTTTTGAATAGCTACATGTAAGAGTCACTCAATGGGAGCATTTAAAAGAAAAAAGGAATTGTTTTTTTGTTTCTCTTCCAGTCTCTAAATATTTAACACAGGAAGTTGCAATGTTGAAATGCAATGTTCAAAAATATTGCAAAGCAGAAAGTCTACAAAAAAAAAAAAAAAAATGAAATGCAATAAAAAGCAAAAACATAAAAAAAAACAAAATAGCTTGCCTTGAGATAAGTTATTTCTACAGATTTCCTGCACGGAGAACGTTATTATTGGATGGTGCAATTATCAGTGACAATTTTTAGAAAAAAAAAGTATTTATCAAATCGGTCATAAAACATATAGGCAAGCATTCCAGACCTCAGACCTCTAGCTTCAGTACATTCTTAGCCCTTAACCTGGAACAAAAGTGCAGCAAGAGGGCACGTTAGTGACTCGGAAAGCACCAATGCCAGAGGGTTAATATGACTTTTTTTAAAAAAGGCAACAGCAAAGGTAGTTTTTGCATGATGGATTTCCTTTAACTGATGAACTCTACCTACAAACAGATTTCACTGGATTCATTTCACCTTTCTCATAATATGGCTTAAAGTACAACTAAAAGGCAAAACTTTTTTTTTAGTTTTGGATAGAGTGGAGAGGGTTTAGAACCCCTGTCAGTTAGTACTGCTGTTGGTGTCCCCATTAGGGAGATTCATTCCTCTATTTGTCCTGCTTACCATTATCATGGTATGCATCATCACCAGCATCATTATCAAAGTAAAAGAAAATCCCTCATTTTGGGTTGCCCCCAGAAAAGTAATAGAGGGGAAATCTTCCAATGGGGACACTAGTTCTGGTGATCTTAAGGAATTCCCTTCATTTGCAGGAATTCCCCTCACTTCCTGTTTCGCTATAGGACAGGACATGAAGGGAAATCTCCGCAATGGCACACAGACTTAGGAAAAAAAACAAAACAAAAAAAACCCCACACACACCACATCTGACAGGGGTTATAACTCTCCCTTGCTCTATCCAAAATGCAAAAACTATAGTTCTACTTTAAGCGTGTCAAAATAATTCCCATAATCATCTTTAAAAATGGAGGCAAAACTCTCATGATTTTTTAAAATAAATGGTATCATATATATTTTGACCTTTAATGACTAGTACTGACCAATTCATAGAGAAAGAGCACATAGTAGTACCAAGAGTAAACAAGCTACAAATGAACAGGAAGCACTGACAATCTAGTAACATTCAGTTCTAGGTGGTCAATTGCACAGATTAGAAGTTATATGATCTCAGAAAAGCTCTTGTTCCAGGTTTACAGGCCTGGTTGTTCTGCTTATGAATGTTTATGTCAGGCTTTTCCATATATGTAAAGAATAAGTATTCTGGAATATGAATAATGTTATGAAACAAGCCATTTTACCATCTCCACCCACGTGCCACCAACAGGAATGAACTGACCACGCTTGACATACTCCTTAATCTGTGAGTATAACCCAGGATAGTGTGTTTTCACCCATTCCAGCTGCTGGGCCTGTGAAATTGAAAAATATTATTGTCACGCTTTAGCGTTGATACATTTCACTGCACATTACATTCATTATTAAACAAATTCATTTTTTTATGTATTCTAGAAAGTGACTTTTACTGACCAGGTACACCCCATCTCTTCATGGAAGTGGTATTCTCTGATGGCAGTGACCACCTTCTAAGCTACCATCTTACCTTCCATCACACAGGTTCAGTGTAATTGATCTTGCTAATAGGCTTTTGATGTAGATCACGTTTCCAAAAGATTCCTTGAGGTTTTCTATAGACAGTTGTCAAATTCTAGTCTCACTGGAGAATTAGCTTTAAACATTTGGGAACATAGCAATGATAAACTTCTATACACCGATCAGCCATAACTAATGACCACTAACAGGTAAAGGGAATATCATTGATTATCTTGTTCCAATGGAAAGTCAGTAGGATATATTAGGCAGCAAGTAAACATGTTGTCCTTGAAGTTGATGTGTTGAAAGCAGAAAAAAATGGGCATCACAGTTCGTTCTGTATGAAGCTATGTAGCCGTAGACCAATCAGGGGCGCCCATGCTGACCCATGTCTATAACCAAAAGCACCTACAATAGACACGTGAGCATGAGAACGGGACCACAGTGCAATGGAATCAGGTGACCTGGTCTGATTAATCATTTTTGCTTTTCCATCATGTGGATGGCTGTATACATGTGCATCTCTTACCTGCAGAAGGGATGACACCAACATGCAGTATGGGTAGAAGGCAAGCCGGCAGAGACAGTGTGATTGGGGCAATGTTCTGCTGGGAAACCTTGGGTCCTGCCATTCATGTGGATTTTACTTAACATACCACCTACCTAAACATTGTTGCTGACCATGTACACCCCTTAATGGAAGCAGTATTCCCTGATGGAAGTGGCCTCTTTAAATGCAGGATAATGAGTACTGCCACAATGAAAAAAGGGTTCAAGAATGGTTTAAGGAACACAACAATGAGTTTGAGGTGTAGTCCTGTCCTCCAAATTTTCCATATCTCATCCCATCTGTGGGATGTGCTTGAAAAACAAGTCCAAACCATGGAGGCCCCACCTCGCAACTAAGACCTCTTTCACACAGGGCTTTTTGATCTGTGCCCTGTGCAAGGCTGTGTTTACCTGCACAGAGATGCACAAGTGCTCTATGCATCCCAGTGTAGGCAGTCCCATTCATGTGTATTGGGATACAGCAGTTGCACAGACAAATCTGCTGTTCCCAATATGACATCCATATGGGTGTAGGTACATGTCTTCAAACTACCCCTTGGTGCGTTCGGGGCCATGCACCTGCATGGATGTCATTGGGTTCAGTGGCTATGTCCATGCAGCTGCTGCATCCTACTAGAGAGCTGTGAAACTGTCGGCACAGGGATGCATGCAACACCTGTGCATCTCCATGCAAGTAAAACATGGCCCTGCATAGGACACAGATCAAATCGCCATGTGTGAACAAGAGACTTTACAGGACTTTAAGGATCTGCTACTGAAGGTTTGGTGTCAGCTACTACAGCATACATTCAGAGGTGTAGTGGTAACCATGCCTCGACAGGGCAGGGCTGTTTTGGTGGCAAAAGTTGCAGGAAGAAGGGGGAGAGCTACTTATTAGGTGTGTGGTCATGGGTAATCAGTGTACATCAAAAGTGGACTTTGTCTATGAAATACATAGAGCGCAAAGTATCCGATCGCCTAACCCGGTTATTATCAGCACGGACGGTTATATAATTACTATACTACACAGATTATACAGTATATCATGGGGTATAGTTAGGAGTTTTAGTTTACAAGCAAATGAAGTGTGCAAAGGCTTTTTAGAACTTGGGGCTTTAGTAGAATATTATAAATAACTATTGATTTATAATATTCTAATTATAAATAATTTTATTGATAAGAAGTTTATGTGGTTCTTTTTGACTATGTTAGCCTCTTTAGGGTTCATGAAAATGGACTAAAATAAGCATTGCTTATGCCCAGCAGAAATCTCCCATTGCTTTCCCCGACTTCTGCCATAGAGGTGAATGGCTGTACTCTTATAAAAGCTGGGGCTTCCTTGAAAGTTCTGTGTTTGGAAAATATGCTGAATGCACATGCTCTGGTAAATGCCAATGCAAAAAAAAAAACCCACCATCAATATATACAGTTTTATGGCCACTTACAGCCATTGACCTGTACAGCAAGCTGTATGCAACATGTGTGGCTCACCGGGCATTTGAAAAGAGCCGGAAGATTTAGGTCATTAAAAATGCCTATTTTTGCCTGGGTGCATAAAGCTTTAAAAGTTCAATTATCTACTTTTTTATTTTCCTGTCAATACAATTCAACATATATAATAAAAAAAACAGTTCAGGTTGATAGACAATATTTGGAGGAGCTGATGTACAAAGAAGTCTCAATGATGGATTAAGTCAGTGATAACAGCTAAACAGCTGGCTGGTGAATTGTTACATGGCAGATAAAACCAGAGAGATTTACCTGAGAGCATGTAAACGTAAAGTCTGGATTGGATGCCATCAGCTGTACTGCGGTTACCCAACTACGAGCACATTTTCTTATGGTTTCTTTATATGGCCACAGCCATGCTGGAATAGATTTTCAGAAAAAGATGTATATATTGCACAGAACAGCTCACAACAAAGTTTTAAAAGGAGCGTGTATAAGAGGACAATGATGGTCCTGGTCTGTAGGAATGAGTAACACAATTAATTCCTGCCTGCATAGTATAAGAAAGATTATAGGGATATCGGGGCAGATCCACTAAAACTGGTAAACACAGAATCTGGTGCAGTTGTGCATCGTAACCAATCAGCTTCCAACTTCAGCTTGCTCACTTAAGCTTTTACAATAAAATCTGGAAGCTATGCAGAGTTGCACCAGATTGTGTACTAGTTTTAGTAAATCTCTCCCATATTGTTCTCTGTTCTATTTAGACCAACCACGTATTTTCATTCATCAGTGCATGAAACAAAGATCTGCAGCAATTTAAGTCAACATTATGAGAACAGAAAGCACCTATAGCACCAGATAGTTTAACAAAAACATACAAAATGCTAAGACCAATTAGAATTACATAGCCAAACTATTCAAATCTGACTACTCTATGAATTTGCACATGGCTGCACAACTGTCACTTTTTTTGGTGGATGCCAATTCTTTTTTTCGCCTCCCTGCATTTTACATCACATCCATGATGGTACCTTCATATTGCATCATCTGTTCTTTTGAACATTAGGGTTGGTATAAGAGGTTATATTTGAATTAGCACCTATTGGCTCAGCTTTTAATCCAATGAGTTTTGTACACTAGAATGTTTAATATGGTCGTCACCAATTTTCCAAACACCGATTTATCTCAAATAGGAAGTCACAGTATTTCTTATTTAGAACAGTTACTTCATATGGTTTTTTACATTTTAAAATGTGCTTGTAGACATCAGCCCTAGACCAAACCAGCATTAGGGCAATAGCATCTACTCAGTTCATGCCTGGGTTGGCCTCAGAAACTGAAAGCTCAGGTTGCTCTACTATGCTGACCACATCCATAGCTGCTATGGCTACTCAGGTGTCCTCCCCTTCCTCTGTTATGGCCTCCATACCAGACACAAAGCTGGATGGGTGGCCTCAAAAACCAATAGAAAAGTGAGGAGTGCAGAAAAGGAATAATACAGTGCGGCCAGGAAAACTTGAAGCTGGTTTAATAAAGCAAACCGTTTTTATTTTTAGGATTCGAAGGCCAGTGTACAAGTACAAGCACTAGCAGGTGCCTCTATTATCATCCCATTGCTAGTTTAGTATGACACTAGAGCCCACATGCTTGATTTAAAATAATGTTATCTACCATTCTCCATAGTAAAAAAGAAAAACTATGTGGCAGACAACACAATGCGTAATGCCAACTCTAGATTACAGTTCATTTGGTCAAAATGGCTTTGAAATGGCTGTAGATCATGGTCCACTTGCTTACTATTTGACAGATTTCCCCTCTTGAAATGCACAACCATCTACAACAACCATTCTTTTCTACAGCGCTGAGCGAACTATTGGCGCTTTATAAATACTGTATAATAATAATAAAGTAATATTGTAATGTTTATGGAAAAAGGAGACCAATCATTCCTGACCTCTTTAATTCCTCAGCATTGCTGGAACAAGGATTTATAACCATAAAAATATCATAGCCTCTATTGAAACATGTTTTCAGGGAAAGAGAATCCTTGATACAACACTTTAAAAAATATATGTTAGCTGAGGAAAGCAGATATAACCATGGATTTCAAGATTTTTACATTATGATGAGAGACTCACTGGACTCATTCATACAAAGATACTTGTTATAATCAGGCCTGTCTTATACCAATAGTTACCAGAGTCAATGTGGCAGTGTCCCATGGCGTGAATCATGTGCTGACTGTCTCCATTCTTTTGGCTGAAAAATGTGGAAGCCAACTTGGCAACGGCAGCAAAGGTACCAGGATCATATACATCACATAGGTTCACCATTTGGTTAGCCACATAGAGAGCTTGATAGCTTCTTTGGTTATCTTCACCAAGCAACTAGGAAAAATACACCAGGAAGCAATTTATGGTACAGTTGAACCTTACATAAATATAAAATGACATACTAAAGTAAATTTTACATTTGATATAGTTGGGAATAACCAAAAGAAAGAGAAAAAAGGAAGCAATCAATGTATGGTTTATATACTGATCAAAAGGTCCACATAGTTGGTGGAATAGGTTAGAGGATGAAGGTAGCATATCATAAATGGCATAAAGAGGTTCTAAACCAAAAAGCAAATATTATACTGCTACTTACCAATTCTTAGATGTGATGGCTGCATTAATTTTCTAATTTAGGCATTCTTGCTGTTATTTTCACCTGGTGATCTGGCCAGTAAGTCTGGTGTGTTTCAAAACAAGCTGCCCTGCATATGTAGCACTTAGAGGTTTGATACAAACCATTTACCACTAATCATCGGTGCTTACAATGAGCAGCTTACATTTATGTAAAAACTTTATCCCAAAAGGAACAAAAAACTGTTTGGTTTCAATTTGTTGGTGTATCTAAATTTGCTAATCCATCTGACACTTCCCTTGCACCACACTGACAACTCAGCTGTCCAAGGGTGCCCCTTTATCCAATGTGTAGGCACTCTAATAGAGGAGGTGTGTTACTAGCCAGATTACCAGGTGAAAAATCCTTAACACCAATTTAAGTGATGTTTTGGTGTTATGACACAGGCAACAGGAGTGCTTACATTTCAATAGTCCTGAGGAATTAGACACTCATAACCTGGATTGGAGTTACGGCAGGAAGTGCATGATTTATACAAGAAGTAGTGCATTATCCACACTAACAAGGATTGACTAGTATTATTAACTTGCTCCCTACTGCTCCACTCACCCACCAGCATGTGACACTCTCCTCTACCTCTCAAAAGGCACAGGTGGGTGGGTGTCTGAGCAGCCAATTGGCAGTTCCCAACCTTGTTATTTGGGGGCAGCAAAAGAGTCCACAACCTGTTCTGTACTTGGGGTATACACAGAGCCGCTTCTCTTTGCTTCAGTAGGCAGGCAGAGTGGCAAGGATGCAAGAGGAAGGCATTTATTAACAATGTATATTTGTGTTTAAAACGTGTTGCTTAGCCAGCATGCTAAAGTTGAGTAAACCGCTCATTGCTGTGATAAACACTTATTTTTTCACAATTTCCACCTTACATTTCGTAGAACATTCAACAAAACTCCCAGCAGGCTTTACTTACCCTGGCCATATCATAGAGAATTTCAAAATCCAGAAGTAGTTCTTCTACATTGCGGTTGTAAACAGCAAGCTCAGCTTTCTGTAGAGTAAACGTCTTGTTTGGATCAACTGGTGCAATCATCCCTCCCTCACCAGCTCCAAACAGACCATTGCAAGCCATCTCAATGTAGAGGGTCATACTGATAACATAAGAAGAAAGTTTGAAAATTAGAAAAAAAACACACTATAAATATAAAAAGGGACAGATGATAGGACCTGAAGAAAAGATGGGCCTCCGGGTTAATGTACTAAGAAGATGCTGTTAGCCCATAGCCAGTAATCAGATAAAAAAAATTTTGAATGCCAAGTGTTGCTTGTACTAACACTTGGAAGAATGACAGCCAGTGTCATAAAATAAAAGGGGGAGATTTACTAAAACTGGTGCACTTACAATCTGGTGAATGTGTGCATGGTAGCCAATCAGCTTCTAACTTCAGCTTGTTGAATTAAAACTTTGACAATAAAACTCGAAAAACTGATTGATGTCTATGCAAAGCTGCATTAGATTTTGCACCAAGCAGCTTTAGTAAATAACCACCAAAGTGTCAGCGTTGATGACAAGAGTAAGTAGAGAACATGAAGAAGAAAATATCCTTGACAAACTGGATGTAAGATTATCTATTTCATGCAAACAGATTTGAAGACTCAATGTCATAAACTGGGGCATGTCAGCAATAGGTTATACACAGAATGGCTGCTAAAGCCAAAAAATCTACTAGCGCTCCCTCTAATGCTGGCCATACATGGAATGAAATTTGGCCTGTTCAATTTCAATCCATGTACAGACAACCGTCCTGTCATATTTTCCCTGCTCAGACAGCACCACAGGCTATATCCTGCAATGTTGATCTGTGTATTCCAACGGTGGGAAAGTCTCCCCGCTCTCAGAATACAAAAGCTCAGCGGGAGGATTCTCCTATGCACATCAAGTATGTGGATGGGAGAAATCGGTTGAATTGAAAAAAAAAAAAAAAAAAAAAAAAAAAAAAAAGGGACACTGACTCATCTATGGACTGCATTAGTGGACAAAAATGAATTAGGTAAGCCTGAAGCAAGCCTAGACTCTCTAAGATAAAGGAACGGCCTTTGGCTTACAGGGCAGGCTATGACGAGAGAGATATCTATCTATCTATATCCAGAAGTAATACCTAAAGTAGAATATTCTTTGGTAGGTCATGAAATCGAACCTGAGGGATACCAGTGAGGCTTAGGAAGCTGATGCAAAAACAGGGAGATCAACTGGTAGCCATACACACTTCAATTATTTTTTTCCAATAGATGTGCAATTTGATCAAAACAACTGAATATGCAAACAACTGAATGGCCATAACTTTGATCAGAATTGAGTCTAAATCGATCCAGAGCAGATTTGATCAAACTGAGTCACTTTTCCTGAGTGGAAAATTATCAACTGTCTTGCATCAACGGGTAGCACTGAGATACTTTTCTCATGAATACGATTGTATTTTGATGATCAGATTATGGGGATTACATGGTAGAAATAAAGATGTAACCAATAACTTACAATCATAGGTTACAAACAAATCTGAATTACCAATTGAAATTCACCTCCCTGTGTGTGGCATATTGATCAAATAGGTTGTTGACTATATTTCTATTTTTTTTTTTATTTCTATTGGAGGAAATTGACTGTAAAGGAAAAAAAAAAAAATCAATTTATTAGAGCGTGTATGGCCACCACATGAGATTATGATGGCTGCCACTGGCAGGTGCTTGTAGGAATAAATATTTCAGTTTGTAGAGCAGAAGTGTGCTTCAGTGACCATCTTGGAATGGGATTAAAGGAAATGCATGCTAGGAACTCACAGGAATGTAAGCTGGTGTTTAGGTGTGTGGTTAGGATCTTGAAAGAATGCAGTACTTGTGATCTGTGCAGCAGTACAGGAGGCCGGAGGATTCAATAACAGTACAATACAAGGAACAAAAAAAAATAGTAACCCATAGCAACTAGATTACACCTTTCTAAAGCTAGACTAGTATGATTTGGTTTAATATTGATTGCTTTGTGTTGCTGTCTTTGTCTCTTGCACTCTTTTAGAAGCCCCCTTTAAAAATTAATTTACCTTTCTATTTAGCACTGGCAATATTTTCTCAAAGTTATGTACAAAGTGCAGTAACCCTCAGCAATAAACTAGAATTAATTTTTACTGAAGCCATGATTGTGACTGGCTCCTGTGATTACTGCACTTTGAACCTTGCTCTGCACACTGGATTACTGAATATGTTCCCAGATAAGAATCTGCAGATGTAGCCAGTGCATGAACTTCAATACTAGATCAGTATAGACAGGAAATACATGTGGAAAAATGTATAACTATATGGAAAGCTTGGACACTACAAAAAGGTAGTGATAGTGGAACACAAATTACTGTTTGACAAACATATACTATGTACTGCAGAGTTCTTACCTGTGTGGATCCCCTTCCTTTAAATGTCTGGTCAAAATGTAGCTGTTTTTTTCACCCTCTTTTGTTAAACCCTGCATTAAAAGATCATAATTAGTATAAAATATAACCAATGCTTGTGTCAAAAGTGTACTTGAAGCCATGTTTTTTATTTAAATACAGTAGGTAAGGGTTAGAATCTTTGTTAGGTTTTTTATTGCTAAAGGTGTCTGCACTGGGGGCTTCATCCTTCCTATTTAACCTGATGACTGCTGTCACAGAGACTCAAGCTTTTTACCTTCATGCATTCTATGCATGAAGGTAAAAAAACCTTATGTTTTTCTGAAGCCCACCCAGCCATCCCTAATACTTACCTGAGCCCCATCGCAATACAGTGATGTGCACAAGTGCCTAGACTCTCCGGGGACTCTTCATCCTTATTGGCTGAAACAAAAGCAGGATAATTACTTGTGTTGCCAAACACACTGATAGCTGATGGAGAAGAATGAACAAAGCTCTCTTTTCGGCAATACACTTCCTGTGGGTCACAGGAGTGACCTTTGTTCTGCACTCCTGTGACCCAGGTTCAGCTGATAGCAGGCTACAGGCCACTGTCAGCTGCCATCACAGAACTGGTCCAGGCTCTGCAGGAATACCAACAATCTCAGGATCCACTCAGATGCCTGACTGGCAGCTGGCTCAGCCTCTCAACAATATGCTGAGAGGCTGAGCCAGCTGCTCCCATCCCCCCTCACCCCACAGCCTGGTGCTCTACTGAGTGTTGAAGGGGAACAGCAAGAGCTTTTTTTTCTGCCATGAGACTTTTTTTTAAAAAGGATATTTATCGTGGTGTATTAGATTTGTGTATTGGCTTCACACTATAACTCTAGTAATCTAGTACCAAAAAGGGCATCATGACGAATGACCATGTTGTGGAATTGTTTAAGCACTACTTGCTATAGGCAAGTAGTGTGAAGGTAATTAAATACAGTAGGCATTATGAAATGTTAGATCCTGTTCACACTATATGCAGTGACCTATTTTCTGCACAAGAACAACCCAGGACATTGCTAAGGTATATAGAAAACAGTTGTTTTCTATGTGCCCCATTCATATTACAATATTGTACAGGATTTATATAGTGCCAACAGTTTGCTCAACGCTTTACATTATAGTGGGAGACAATACAGTAACAATACAGTTCAATACAAGAGGGCCCTGCTCCTTGGAGCTTACAATCTAGGAGGGAGGGGTGAATGGTACAATAGGTAATAACTGTGGGGATGGGAGTAGTTGGAAGAGTAGAGGATTCCAGTATTAGCAGAGGGCGGGATAGGCTTCCCTGAAGAGAAGGGTTTTCAGTGATGGCCTAAAAGTCAGTAGAGTAGGTCAGTGTTTTTCAACCTTTTTTGTGCAAAGGCACACTTTTTTCATGAAAAAAATCACGAGGCACACCACCATTAGAAAATGTTAAAAAAATTTACCTCTGTGCCTATATTGACTATATATAAAGTAATTCTCTTGAATAGGAATCAAACACAAAGAAATTATTTTATAATTACTTTATTATGAAATAATAAAGTATTTTATAATTGGACCCGGGGGCCGGACCAAGAGTAGATGAATGATGTGTATGTGTCATCCATAGTAAGTATAGTAATATTCCCCCATAGTAAGCATAGTAATTAATCCCCCATATAGTAATTCATCCTCCATATAGTAATTCATCCCCCATAGTAATTCATCCCTCATATAGTATTTCATCCCCCCATATAGTATTTCATCCCCCCATATAGTATTTCATCCCCCCATATAGTATTTCATCCCTCATATAGTAATTCATCCCTCATATAGTATTTCATCCCTCATATAGTATTTCATCCCTCATATAGTATTTCATCCCCCATATAGTATTTCATCCCCCCATATAGTATTTCATCCCCTCATATAGTATTTCATCCCTCATATAGTATTTCATCCCCCCATATAGTATTTCATCCCTCATACAGTAATTCATCCCTCATATAGTAATTCATCCCCCATATAGTATTTCATCCCTCATATAGTATTTCATCCCCCCATATAGTATTTCATCCCTCATATAGTAATTCATCCCCCCATATAGTATTTCATCCCCCCATATAGTATTTCATCCCTCATATAGTAATTCATCCCTGATATAGTAATTCATCCCCCATATAGTATTTCATCCCCCCATATAGTATTTCATCCCTCATAAAGTAATTCATCCCTCATATAGTATTTCATCCCCCACAGTACTATTCCCCCCCCCCTTCTAGTAAGCCAAGTCCCCCGTGTCAATTCACTTACCTTTTGCGTTCCTCTCGCTGTCTTCCCGCGCCGTTCGGGTCTTCAGGGCGGACTGTGAGAGGAGCCTAGCTCCCCTCCCCTCACGTTCGGCACGCTGCCCCCCGCCTACACACATCCTGACAGCCACATCCGCAAGCCGGATTAAAAGGTCCGCGCGGACTTTTGGGGCTGCCAACCGAGAGGAGGCAGGGGAGCGGCCGACCGAGAGGAGGGAGGGGAGCAGGCGCCCGGCACACAGAAGAGCCGCATTAGACTGGGTAAAGAGCCGCATGTGGCTCGCGAGCCGCGGCTTGCCGACCACTGAATCATTAGATTCTAATGATTGGTCTATTTGTGAGCCGAAGCCACATGTTACAGATGAAATTGGAATTTTTTCCCACGGCACACCAGACAATATCTCACGGCACACTAGTGTGCCGCGGCACAGTGGTTGAAAAACGCTGGAGTAGGTGATAGTCTGATAGATTGGGGTAGGGAGTTCAAGAGAATGGGGGAAGCCCTGGAGACAAACATGGGAGGAGGAGACAAGGGAGCTAGAGAGTCTTGCAAGGAGCGGAGAGTACGCTTTGGGTGATATTTAGGGACAAGATAGGAGGTGAAAATAGAGTGAAATTAACGAGCGCAAATAAAGATGTATGCTTGAAAAGAGTATATAAAATGTTATAAAGCCGCTAGCATGAAAGGTATACCTCAGCACCTCTGTAATAAATAAAAATCAAAACAATGCAGCGCTGAAATTAAAATTATGAAAATACCCATATACAGTGTATATTCATCAAACTTATCAGTTCAAGGTAAAAATATATAAAAAGTCCTATTTAAGATAGGAGGTGAGATATGGTAAAATGCAAAGTGTCTGCATTTTTCTGCACCACACCTGGGCTCACATGAATTCTTCATCTGTCCGCCTGTTTCTTTGCAAACAGAAATTCATGTAAAAATGCAAGGCGCTTCCCCCCTTCAACAGCAGCACAGAACAGACACTAGCCGGTATGTCTAAATTGCTCAATTTCACGCACGGGCTAGTGTGAACAAACCCCTTAAAAATACAGCCTTTCAAATATTTTTTACAATGTTGGACATTTGTGAACATTCCATTCAGGGAAAACATTTTTCAGAAGGACAATAACTTAGATCAGGAGCAGAATTTTGTCACAGTCATGGGAACAGCTAATTTACAGCCATTTTGTCTGCAGTAACAGGAAATCCACCTGTGCATGTACAGCTGGCAGGTCTTGTGGTCTTTAATATTTTTTCCCTAGTAAAAGCCTTTACCTGGACTGGCATGTCATCCTTCCACACCAACCCTTCACCGTCACTTTCCCATATTAGATGGACTTCCTGTCCGCACCACTTCTCAGGCATGCTCAGCTGCACTTTGAACCAACAAGTCCACCAACTGCCAAAAAAAAAAAAAGGAGAGTTTTTTTTTTTTTTTAACTCAAAAGACAAAATGCCAGAGACACACATATATACAATGTTCCCAGCTGTGGGCAACTAGCGATACTTCACTAAAGAGGTATTTCAATACAACTTGGTACACTGGTGGGGGTCTCATATCAAACATTTACTAAAGTAGTTTTATCATATAGAAGTGTGTTTTTGCTCTGAAAAGTTTTCAGTCATTGTAGGTTGATGTTTCTTAACCCTTAAAGCATGAGCTCCTTTGCAAAAACCTCTTTAAAAGATAGAGATGACAAGCGTATATTACAAGTATGTATGTACTATATTATTATACAGTATATATATAGCACCAAAAGGTTTGCTCAGTGCTGTACATTATAGTGGGGGACAGAACATGAGACAGTACAGTAACAATACAATACACGAGGGGTTCAAGGGCCCTGCTCTTTCGAGCTTACAATCTAGGAGGGAGGGGATAGTGGCACAGGAGGAAGTGGCTGTGGAGGATGGAACGGTAGGAGGAGTTTGGCAGTTAGGTGAGGGTGGGGTAGGCTTCCCTGAAGAGATGGGTTTTGAGAGTGAGCCTAAAAGGTGTGGAGGGTGGGTGACAGTCTGATGGTGAGTTCCAGAGGAAGGGGGGGTTGGGGGAAGTCCTGCAGTCAGGTGTGGGAAAGGAGACCAGGGAGCTAGAAAGTAGGAGGTCTTGTGAGGAGCAAAGATTACGGGTTGGGTGGTATTTGGGTATCAGGTCGGTGAGGTAGTTTGGTGCAGCGTTATAAATGGCTTTGTATGTCAATGTTAGTAGTTTGAATTTGATGCATTGGGCAATCGGGAGCCAGTGGAGGGAATGACAGAGGGGGGTGGCAGAAGAGGAGCGGTTGGTAAGGTGGATGAGTCTGGCCAGTGAGTTCAGGATTGACTGGAGCGGGGATAGTCTGATGACTTAGGCCGGTGAGGAGGGAGTTGCAGTAGTCTAGACGTGAGATAATGAGGGAGTGAACGAGTTGTTTAGTAGTGTCTGGGGTTAGGAACGTACGTATTTTGGAGATGTTACGAAGGTGGAGCCTGCATGAGCTTGCTAGCGATTGGACATGGGGTTGGAAGGACAGGTTTGAATCTAGAGTGACACCTAGGACTTTGGCTCGCGGGGTGGGAGTGATGGTGGCGTTGTTGGTCGTGATGGATGGGGGGGGGGGGGGGGGGGGGGGGTGCGGGTTGGGGGAGGGAGGGAAAAAAAAAAAAAAAAGTCAGGAGCTCGGTTTTGGAAAGGTTCAGTTTTGAGGAAGTGAGCGACATCCAGTCTGATATGTCGTTCAGCAGGTGGGTGATACGGGCAGAGACTGAAGGGGTGAGTTGAGGGGTGGAGAGGTAAATTTGCGTGTCATCGGCGTAGAGGTGATAGTTATACTCTCATAACTACTTTCACAATTTCCATGTAAAAAAAAAAAAAAAATTTTATATATATATATATATATATATATATATATATATATATATATATATATATATATATATATATATATATATATTTGATCCAAAAGCCCAATTGGTCCTTCCTTTAATATTACTGTATTGCAGTAAGAGTGCAAAAACAGTAAAAAATATGCACTTCTTTTTTAAAAGTAATACTGCTAGCAAGACAAGAGAGAGCAGGTCTTCTGCTTGATACAAAGCACAGCGAGTCAGGTCTCTTGAGGTTGCCCAGTGCTTCAAACAACACTTCTGCTTAGGGAATGTGAGTGTGATGCTGGGCAAGGTGCATGTTGGGCTGCTGGAGATCCAGACTAGTGATGGGCCAAACACCCCCCTGTTCAGTTTGTGGTCGAACATTCGAACCCTACAGAATGTTGGACTGCGAACTTCAAACATGAACAATTTACTGAGCGGTATCTTACTGCATCTGAGTATGTGGTAAGATACCGCTCAGTTATGAAAATACCGCATGAGCTAGATTATTAAGTGTGATTCACTCTGGTTGGTCCCGAGAGCGCTGCACAGAGAAAAGGGAGAAGAGTGGGGATTTAAAAAACTGGTGGAGCGGCTACGCAAGCATTGATAGCTCATCATCCCCAGAGGTAAGTACAGCAGAGAATGTGGGGGGGATGTTAGTTCATCTTTCACTTTTCTCCTTTCGTTTTCATTAAAAGGTGAACACTTTAAGCATAACACCTCTTTATAAATTAAAGCTGAACTCCAGGAATTATCTGTATTCCACAGTTACATCCAGTGTGGCACAATGTAAGTACATGCATCTCATACCTGAGGGGCTGCTGGGGAAACTGATAATCACTGCAGGAGTCTGCGCTAAAACAGTGATGGCTGCAATTGCCTGAGTCCTGCTCAGGCTTCCTATCTGCATACTAACCATAGGAGGTAGCTTGCTTGACTATGTCCTCATCTACAGAATAGAGAGAAAACAGGTGGCGCACACACCTAGTGCATTATCCAAGGTTTATTGTAGGAGTGAAAGAATAATAAAAAAAACAGACGAAGCATGTATCTAAAAAGCATAGAAAAATGACAATGGCCACAACGGCAGGCAAGGTGTTCTCACTGTCAGTGTGGTCAAATGGCTGACGCGTTTCGGGGACGAATCCCTTTCCTGAGGCATCAACAGCAAGGCTCCTACTTTCCATTCATCATACATCTGCATCAGAGGCTGGTCATCAGCTCTGAGGAAAGGGATTCGTCTCCGAAATTAATTGAAATAAACCACAAGGTATTCTGTGGATGGTGGCAGTGTTCAGTGAGTGACCCCATGTGGTCAGCGTACATGGGGAAAGCAGTTCACACCAAACACAAGCAGGATCTGGAGGATCACAGCTCTCACTGCTGTAGCATCAACTACTACTGACAGCAGCCCCTCTAATATGTGCATACTTACATTATGCCAAGCTAGACTATTGAAAGTATGCAGTACAAATTGTTCCTGGGGTTCAGATTTAGAGTTGATAATATTTAGAATGACAATCTGCTTCACGTTTTTAACTAACTTACTAAACCATACCAGCATTTTACAGTGTTTAAGATACTTGCGTTGGTCCAAAGGTCTGTCCAACCTGAGCAGGTTGAAAGTCTTTCTTCAAAGCATCTTCATAGGAGATCCGTTCCTTTGTTAAAAAGCAGGAGAGGGAATCCACAGGACACCTCGCTCCAAACAACCTACAGAGAGCAAGATTAAAAGGGTTTCATAGATTATATTAAAGGATTCATTCATTCATTTAAGTTGATTTAAAATTGCTTACTATAGAAGTAATGATCATCAAAAAGTACCTTTCACCTGCACACACTTATAATGCATGTTATTGGCACACAGAAACCAGAACAATGTATGACATTAACGCTCACAAGGGCAGGATATAAATAAGACGGACACATTGAATAATGCAGATTTAGGCCGTACACTGCTACAGCTACTGGACTCATGTACACAGGCAGTAAAAATGCTGCATTTAGATCTGTATAGTGTTTTGTTGTTTTTTTTTTTTTTTACAGATCTGAAAACAGCTCTAGGATATCCAATGTGTACATGCACACAGCGACGTTTAGCATCAGATTCTATTTTTTCCCTAGTTCATTTAGGGTTGGTGAAGCCTCAGCCACACAGGACGTTTTGCCAACTCTCCTAGAAGCCTTTCCTCCTGGCAGCAGAGTTTTAGCAGAAAAAAAACACCTATGCTTGGAAAAGTGTGTAATGCGTTTAGGCTTGTCGTGCACTTGGGCGTTAGTTTTATTGGCCAGAATAATAATTTATTCTGACCATTGAAAAAAAAATAAATGATCAAGTACTAAAACGCAGAGCGCTCCTGAACACACTGGCAGTGGGTTTTTTTTCTGCCTCTAAACATAGGCTGGACACATAGGCTAACATGCAGGGGCATTTAGAGGCAGGGACAAAAAGGCAGATGCCCCTAGGAGCAGCTGAAAAATCATCCAGTAAGCATGAGGCCTAAAAAAAAAACAAAAAAAAAAAAAAAAAACCAGCTTGTGTCTTGTATTCCACGTGTAAATGTATGTACATATGTATGTATATTATTATACAGGATTTATATAGCACCAACAGTTTGCTCAGCGCTGTACATTATGATGGGTATATGCACATAAATCCATTCTAGTGACCAGAATAAATATTATTCTAGCCCATCTATTAGTGATAACCAATCCCTAACCAATTCATTGTTAGCATATGTAATAAACAGTGTCCAAAAATTATAATCCCACTCCAATTTCCACACATGCTCCAAATCAAATGCTGGTTCTTGTTCGTGATGATGTCAGGGCGTGGCCACATCTTGACATCATCGTGCACATGAACTAGCGTTTGATCATCCACCTGTTTGCATGGAGAAAAGCGATACTGTGGATTTTTAATGCGAGTGCGCACTTTATTTTAAATAAAGCAGTTAGGTTTCACATATTACAGTAAGGCTTGCACTTTTTTGTCTTTTACCCTGGGCTACTGTGAACAAATTCTGATGCTGCGTGGTATTGGAACCTGGACAGTATTTACACAAAGCACTTTTATACCATTCTAACTCTAGATCTAGAGGCTTGATATTTGGCTTCTCTCTCAAGGTAAAGGCATTCACAAGTTAGGGAGAATGTCACCAGCACACTGAGGATCACCAATATGGTCCAAAAGTTTTAATGAACGATCACATAGTTACAGCAAGGCAACGGTTTGGAGTCTTGCAGGACCCCTTCATCAGGCATGTGACGATGTGGTCACATGCCTGATGAAGGGGTCCTGTGGGACTCTGAAACGTTGCCTTGCTGTAACTGTGGGACATTCCTTAAAATTTTGCACCCATATTGGTGATCCTCTGTGTGCTGGTGACATTCTCCCTTGCTGATTCTGTTCAGTTCTAGCCAATGGAGCACCCACTTATACACACAGCCATTTTTAACACAGGAACGTGTGCGTTTGGATTGGACACTGGCATTCACAAGTTGCCATGTTGTAAAGAGTGTGAAGTTCACTAGGAATCATGAAAATTGGAAATTCACTTAGGGGTGAAACTATTATTTTTGGACAATTTTTTGATCTACACATTGTATATGGTTTTGTGTTTTCATTTAATTTACACATTTTTTTTTCATGATTATACGTGTTATGTGAAGTGACAGATATCATTTTCAATATAGCACTACATCTTTTTGATTTTTGTTTTCTAAGTTTTGGGATACAATGGCAAATTTTATCTGAAGTGTGTCAACAAAAACTTCACCACAAAAGGCTGACGATAATAAAATCATGTGGGTATAACTGGCAAAACAGCAATCGGTGGATGAAAGGGGCAATCTGTGCAGGCAGAGAGTGTCAATGCAAAATGCATATACAAGGAGCTCCCTGCAGCAGACTGCACACCAACCACTAGACTGGAGCGTACATTCACTTCTGCATTTAAAGCTGAATTCCCTTACCACATTGCAAGGATTAAATGCTTGTTGTGTCTGGGGGTAGAGGCAGGGGCGGACTGACAACTCATGGGGCCCCCGGGCAATAGGGGATCATGAGGCCCGTGTCAAAAAAAAACCTATGAAAAAGGTACCAGGGGCATCTCATGGGGCCCGCTACTGATCCCAGGCCCTCGAGCAGTGCCCGAGTTTCTAAATGGTCAGTCCGCCCCTGGGTAGAGGAATAAGTTGTAATGCTTACTTTATTCCTGGCTCCTGCAGGCTTCATCCATCCATGTGGTGGGTCCAGCACTGCTACCTCCCTAAGGCGCCCTTAGCCGCAGTCACATTATCATTTTCTCCACATACAACACAGGGTTAGGACCAGTTCACACTACATGCGTTTCAGTTTCCTTTTATTCTGCATCCAAGACGCACAGAAAGTAGGTTATATGGTTGTCAATGCAACAGTTACATCAGTGCTTGCAGTTCCAATGCGTTCCGGTTACAGAAAAAAAAAAAAAAAAAAAAGTAGAACATGCTGCATTTTTTCTGCACGGAATGCACCAAAAACGTACATGTCCCCATTTCAATTGAAGAACAAGAGGAAAAAATTAACTGAAATGCATAAAAAAAAAAAGGCACTGGAACTCGTCAAAAATGCACCAAAACCTCAAAAACGTGCATGCAAAAATGCATACGGAACGCATCTGGACTGCATTTCTATAGTGGGAACCGGACCTAAAAAGGAGAAGTACAGCCAAAGCTTGTTTGTCTTGTGGGGAATACAGCCTTGCCTTTAGCTGTACTGTAAGGCCATGCTGGCCTCACCAGGGACCCCAGAGCCCATAGAACCCCTCACCACATCTCTGGGACCCCCTCACCTCCCCCTCAGGTTGCAGTCAGTGAAGTACACAGCAGAGATGAACTTCTCCACTCTCTCTAGGGTGGTTCTCCGGTTCTTCAGCACTAGAGGGGCTCCTGGCTGCTCCATGACTATGCAGAGCCTACTAGGGACACCAAATCACAGGACAGTTGTCACCAGAAGCGGAAGTATCCAAGCAAATCACTGGACTGGACACCCTAGAGAGATCACATCCGTTTCTCTCTCCGCTATAGACCGGCTCTGTGCTGCGCATGCGTCAGTCTGGCTGTCAGCGCCAGCGAGATCTTATTGGATTCCGGGATCCCGGGGGCGGGCTTCTCTAGAAGAGGGAGGAGTGTGTGAAGTCTGTAGGATGAAGAAGAGTCACATGACACTTCGATCATCCGAATATTTCCCAGAACAATCTCAGAAATGACGATGTAGACACACGTGACCTGCATTACATAAGCACAGCTGGATCATCCTTTTCAGCTCAGTTGTTAGAACCTCTATGGGGGCCATACATGCTTCAAGTGTATTATCCAATCAAAACGAATGAATCAGAAAATGATCAAACTAGATTGAGTCAGTTGGCCAGCGCAGAAAATGATCAATCAGTTTGTATTGGTCAACAGCGTCAAGATCCTTTGTTCTTCAATACAATCAGATTTGCATAGAAAAAAAAATAGGAAACAGAGTTTCAAAGCTTAAAGAAGTATTAAACCCAAAACCAAAAATGTAATAGAGTGTCTTACCCACTCCTGACCCCTGAACCGTGCAAATAAAACCCTGGCCCCTGAACTATGTACATTACTCACTCCTGACCCCTGAACTATGTACATTACACACATGACCCCTGAACTATGTACATTACTCACTCTGACCCCTGAAACTATGTACATTACTCACTCCTGACCCCTGAACCAGGCAAATAAACCCTTCTTGGCCGCCGATCTATGAACATTACCCACTCCTGACCCCTGAACTATGTACATTACGCACATGACCCCTGAACTATGTACATTACCCACTCCTGACTTCTGAACTGTACATTACTCGCTCCTGAACTCTGAACTATGTACATTACACACTCCTGACCCCTGAACTATGTACATTACCCACTCCTGACCTCTGAACTATGTACATTACTCACTCCTGACCCATGAACTATGTACATTACACACTCCTGACCCCTGAACTATGTACATTACCCACTCCTGACCTCTGAACTATGTACATTACTCACTCCTGAACTCTGAACTATGTACATTACTCACTCCTGACCCCTGAACTATGTACATTACACACTCCTGACCCCTGAACTATGTACATTACCCACTCCTGACCTCTGAACTATGTACATTACACACTCCTGACCCCTGAACTATGTACATTACCCACTCCTGACCCCTGAACTATGTACATTACCCACTCCTGACCTCTGAACTATGTACATTACACACATGACCCCTGAACTATGTACATTACTCACTCCTGACCCCTGAACTATGTACATTACCTCACTCCTGACCCTCTGAACTATGTACATTACACACTCCTGACCCCTGAACTATGTACATTACTCACTCCTGACCCGGAACCATGTTCCTGTGGCCCCTGAACTATGTACATTACCCACTCCTGTACCTCTGAACTATGTACATTACACACATGACCCCTGAACTATGTACATTACTCACTCCTGACCCCTGAACTATGTACATTACTCACTCCTGACCCCTGAACTATGTACATTACTCACTCCTGACCCCTGAACCTATGTACATTAACTCACTTCCTGACCCCGGAACTATGTAATTACCCCCTTCTTGGCCCCTGGACTATGTACATTACACCTTGAACCCTACCTCCTAAACTACAGTCATTGCTTAAACTATGTACATTACCAACTCCTGACTCCTGAACTATGTATATTACACACCTGACCCCTGCACACTATGCCTTACCTACTCCTGACCCCTGAACCATGTAAATAACCCCTTCCTGAACCCTGAACTATGTACATTACACTCCTGACCCCTGAACTATGTACATTACACATATGATCCCTGCACACTATGCCTTACCCACTCCTGACCACTGAACTATGTACATTATACACCTGACCACTGGACTATGTACATTACACATCCTGAACCCTGCACACTATGCCTTACCCACTCCTGACCCCTGAACTATGTACATTACACACCTGACCACTGGACTATGTACATTACACATCTGACCCCTGCACACTATGCCTTATGCACTCCTGACCCCTGAGCTATGTACATTACCCACACATGAACCCTGAACTATGTGCATTACACACTCCTGACCCCTGAACTATGTACATTACACACTTCTGACCCCTGAACTATGTACTTTACACACATGACCCCTGAACTATGTACATTACTCACTCCTGACCCCTGAACTATGTACATTACCCACTCCTGACCCCTGTACTATGTACATTACACACATGACCCCTGAACTATGTACATTACTCACTCCTGACCCCTGAACTATGTACATTACTCACTCCTGACCCCTGAACTATGTACATTACCCACTCCTGACCCCTGAACTATGTACATTACCACTCCTAACCCCTGAACTATGTACATTACCCCACTCCTGACCCCTGAACCATGCACATAAACCCTTCTTGGCCCCCTGAACTTAATACATTACCCACTCCTGACCCCTGAACTATATACATTACCCACTCCTGACCCCTGAACTATGTACATTACCCACTCCTGACCCCTGAACTATGTACATTACCCACTTTTGACCCCTGAACTATGTACATTACACACATGACCCCTGAACTTTGTACATTTCTCACTCCTGACCCTGAACTATGTACATTGCCCACTCCTGACGCCTGAACTATGTACATTACCCACTCCTGACCCCTGAACTATGTACATTACTCACTCCTGACCACTGAACTATGTACATTACTCACTCCTGGCCCCTGAACTATGTACATTACACACTCCTGACCCCTGAACTATGTACATTACCCACTTCTGACCCCTGAACTATGTACATTACATACATGCTCTGCATCTTAAAGCGGAACTAAAGTCCACATAATGACTACAAAACAAACACTGCCCGCCCACCACCCACCCAAAGAGATAGAGCGATATACATGTAGCAGCACAACTAAAGCTCATATCCTCCACAAAGCTGTTAAATCCAAAATACACAACATTAGGCTGCACAACCTAGCATTGTCGTATAAAGTCTGCACTAGTGGTCCGATGCCTGCTACATCCCTCACTGGCATCAGCATCTCTTCCTAGCTTCTTCTGGGAGCTGATCTTTGGCCATCTTGCATGGCAACTGAAGGGTGATGTCACTCCCGCACATGCTCAATACTGCAGTCATCCTGGCACACAGGCACCATGCCGGATTGTAGATTGAGCCGAGTATGCGCAGCTTGGTGTATATTCTACAGAAGATTGAGCAGGCAGGTAGTTTTTTTTTTTTTTTTTTTTTTGCACAAGAGACATTGCAGGTCTCTTCCACAACAAAGGGTCTGTCTGCTCACAGGTTTTTTTTAGACTTTAGTTCCATATTATAGAATCGTTCATATTAATAATTTACAATATAACCAAGACACTGAGGATAATAATTAAAATGGAGTGTAAAGAGAATACTGGAACAATTGGTTGTACAGCTTGTTTCTCCAGAGCAGTGGTCTCCAAACTGTGGCCCGGGGGCCGGATGCGGCCCTTTGCTTGCCTTTATCCAGCCTTTTGGGCACTCTCTCCCACTAACACTAAGAATGAGGCGCTATTCCTTCCACAGACACCAACAATGGTCCATTGTTATTCCCACTGACACCAACAATGGGGCAATGTTCTTTCCACGACACAAACATTGGGGCCCCATTTCTGCCACTGACACCACGATGGAGTATGATTCCTCCCACTCACCACTGACACCCAAGGATGGGGTACAATGCTTTCCACTGACACCAACGATGCGGTAAAATGCCTTTCACTGAAACCAATGAAGGGGCACTATTCCTCCCCCTAATACCAAATATGGAGTGTTGTTTCCTCCCACTGATGTCTGGACATTTTCTACTTCTGCTGACCACACTCCAGCCCCCCTAAAGTCTGAAGGACAGTAAACTTAGACCTTTGTTTATAACATTTGGAGACCCTGGCTCTAGACGGCAGACCAATTTTTGATTACGGCACTCTACTTAAAGTGTTACTAAACCCACAACAGTAAAATCAGTCTGTATATGCAGTAAAGCATGCTTGTTATACTCACTGTGGAACCAAATGGGTTAATCCTCTGCATTATGTAAAAAGCCTGTTTGATCCTGTCTTTTCTGATCCTCCCCATCTTTTACTGTCCCCAATCCATCTGCTGATAGTACAGCACTCTACGAGTCACTCTGCACATGCTCAGGTTAGTGTGTATTGCTATAGAGGTTTTTTTCCCCACTTTGGGAGGGTAACTGTTATTAGCACAGGGCCAAATCAGCACTGTCCAGAGGGTCAGGGGCTATGCAGCCTCATTGGGCAACCAGGGGAGAATGAAAAATACTCCTACTTGTTTTAACCAGTGCTCAGCTGGACACTGATAGAAGTCACAAGACTTCTATATACAGATGATAAGAAAAGGTATTTAGCAGTTTATATTTGCTAAAATAATTGCATTTCCATGTAGTGTATACTCTGGGAAATCAGATATAGAGAATGCAGGGTCCTGGGTTCAGTAACACTTTAAGTACTTAACCACTTCCCATCCGGCCCATGTATATAAAACGGCCGGACGGGAGCAGTGCAGAAGCGGGTTGGCGTTCATAAACCGTGCACGCACGCCATTTAGCCTGTGCGCGGTCCCTGGGAGCACACAGCACTGCGGTCCGGTGCCCGCTGTGTCCTCCGGACACACCGGAACACCGATTGATGTGCGGGACCTCTGTGTGAGGTCCTGATCATGTGATCACTGATTGGCCAATCAGTGATCACATGAATAGTAGTAAGCAAGATGTCACTTCTGACATCATTGCTTACTACTTGTGACATCTATGAATGATCACAGAGACCATATGGTACAAGGCTATTCACAACAGCCTTGTACCATGTGAC